GTAAAAAATTGTGAACACTGAAACATATTAGAAAAAAAAAATGAAAAGAAGTTTTTAAAAAAAATTAAAATTCCAAATTAAACAAAACAAAACAAACAAAATTATTATGTCAGATGCCTAATAGTTAAAACTTCCACAAAAAAAAATAAAAAAATTAGTCATTAAAAATAATAATTACTGGAAATGTTAAAAGCAAAACACAAGACTTTGAAAATAAATATTACAAAAAAAACGGATTTTGAAATACAAAATTTTAAAATTGAAATTTAAAAAAACTTTTAAAAATTATGATTGTTTTGAAAGTTAAATTGCACATTAAAAATAAAAGAATATGAATTTAAATTAATTGAACAACCAAATGAATTTAATTCTACAGGCTGTTCTTAGAGTTAAATCTGGTTTTAAAGGGAAATAAAGATAAAAAAAAATCTAAAATTAAAGGTGCAGTCGTACGATTTTACAAATTTGTTAGTCAAAATATTAAAGCTGCTGTTAGCTGTGAGCATTAGCTTTTTTTAAAACTTTTTAAACATTTTTCTATTTGCACAAACTTTTTTTTGTGTAGCCAAGAATGTGGGATCCACTAAAACGACTGTTTGAAGGGTCAGATTTAACGTTTATTTAGTATAAGTTTTTATGTTTGTTTTTGTGTGAACCTGTGAATAAATGAATCACTGATTCTTACACATGTTGATTTTGTTATTTCACACTGAACACGTTACAAACTGGTTCCTCATTGGCCCCGTCTAAATAAACTGACTTCACCACCGAGCCTCTGTTTTCACACCTGGATGCAGTTACCTGTCGGTCATGAGGCTCCACCTGGTGGTCATCATAGGTATTGACAAAAAGGGTCTAATGCAGACAGAAAGTGAAATCATTAAAACACACGTTGGCGCCTGTGGATGATCTGCAGCCTCTCAGTTTATCTACGCAGTGATCAGAGTGGGCGGGCTGATATGATTATGAGGCGCTGCTCTGATTGGCTGTCTGAATGAAGTGCAGCCGCACCTGTGCATCCATCAGAGGCGACACAGAAACAGAGCTGGAGAGCGTGCGTTCGTGTACGTCACACTTCAGATTCTCTTCATGTCGACCTTCAGGTATAAAATGATTGATCTGATCGGCTCTGGTCTAACTGAAACAGATCAATCAGAAACTCTCTGATCAGTTTTATTCACACAGAAATAAAAACACAGACAGTCCTCAGCAAAACAATGTACAGTCTTTAATCTGTTCATTTATACAAGAACCATCCTGTGAAGTCAATAACCTACATTTCCAAAAATAGATTTTATAGACAATCCTGATCCTCCGTCCACGTCTGTTAATGTTTCTTTTGTTTTTTTTTATATATATATATTTAAAGATGGAAAAACATCCAGACAGTCAGGAGAGTTTCTGCAGGTTAATTCAGTTTGAACTACAGTAAAAGCTTTTAAGACTAACTCAAACTTTCTGTTAAACTAGGAGCTACAGGAGGAGGAGGAGGAGGAGGAGGAGTAGGAGGAGGAGCGTTACTTCAGCGTTAACTAGCAGGAGGAAAAGCTGTCCACACGTGAACACAAGAACACCAAGTCACAGAAACAGAGAAATCAGAGTGGTTGGTGTGTTTTGGAGGAGTCTCTCGGTTTTTGTGTTTGCTGATGAAGGAGGAGATGATCGGCTGGAGGAGGAGGAGGAGGAGAAATCCTGCCGTCCTCTGCGCCTCCTCACTCCCTCCTTCAGTTTGTCTTCTTTTCCCCTGGAGGAGAAAAAAAGAGAGAAATGTGGTGATTTAATGAAACGTTCAGATTTCTGCAGAAGATCAGACCTTGGAGAGAAACAGGGACGTTAAAGAGAGGAAGTTTAAAGTGAAATAAAAGGTCAAAAATATACTCCTGAGGCTTTTATTTTGAAAAAGGTCTTTTACAGATATAATATAATATAATATAATATAATATAATATAATATAATATATGTATGTATAAGTGCCTTTCCTCATCCTTATTGTTTTTGTGGTGAAATAAAAAAAAAAGGATAAAATAAAAAAAATTGCGTTTTTAAAGTTTTTTAATTCCTAAAAAAATGAGGATGAAAAAAACTCAAACATATTTTTTTCTGTTTTTATATTTAGTTCAAAATAAAAATTCACCTGACGAGTCGTTTTGATTAATTAAACTTGATCGACATTCTGACGAAAAAACAGCGACTTGTTCAGTTCTCTTAAATTAAAATGTCTGATTTTAAGTCTGCTGAAACTGTTTCAAATGATTTTAACATGAACTGAAATCTTGTTCCTCTGTGACGATAAAAGAGCGAATAATACAGTTCAGAGGTCCTGAAACGGCTGTTCTGCCCTCTAGTGGAGAATCAGAGAACTGCAGGCTGAGCCAATTTGGAGAGGTCTGATGAAAAAAGACGTTTAAAGACTTTTGTGTTTTTGGATTTAAATTTGTGGTGGTAAACTCAGCTTTAGTAACAGTTAAAACACAGTTTTAATGGTGAACAATAAAAAAATCCTGTTATTTAATTTTCTGTCGTCACACTTTGAAACCATCTTCAGATGTTCATGTGCAGCTTTTCATGTCACTGTTCTGTTTCTGACGTGAGGAGACGCAGAGGAGAAAACAGCAAACGACCTTCAAAACATAAAGAAGACAAAAGCTGCAAATACAGAAAAAAGAAGAAGGTGACTGTGGCGCTGTGGAGGCGGAGCTTCCTCTGTCAGGGTGACGTGTGCACGTGTTTTTGGGTTGTTCGGTTCTGTAAAACCAGGTTCCACCTCAGAGGGGATCCAGACTCCAGAACCAAAACCTGCTCAGTCTGCGTCTCTTCAGGACTCACGTCTCTGTACTATCAGGACCCTCATTAGGGTCTCGGTTCTTTGGGTCTCACCTCTGGTCTTCTTCACTTTGGGGGAACAGGGTTTGGACACCTTGACGGTGGTCTGGCACTCGGCGTTGAACAGCGCTCGCTTCAGGGTCCCTGACCGGCTCTTGGTGTTGGTGGCGGCGTCGCAGGATCCCCACGGGCCGAACTTGTACTTACAGTCACCTGAGGGTCAAAAACAGGAAGTTCAGGAAACTTTAAACAGTTACTCTTAAATAATCCACATTCAGGTCTACTGTCAGGGTGCTGCCCCCTAGTGGTCATGGTGAGTGTTGCAGGAGTAAAGACATGTTTGTGGTTCTGGTTCAGGGTGTCGGGGTCTTACTGATGTCCTTCTTCCAGTTGCAGGGGATCTTGCAGTGGATCTTGTCGGTCCGGTCTTTGCACGTGGCCTCCCTCAGACCCTCTCCACAGTCTCCCTGTTCTGGGACACATTTCCCGTACTGAGTCTCTGCAGGGGAGCACTCGGAGACGGGCCGGGACTTCTCATGTTTCCCACCTGAGGAGGACAGCGGACCTTCGTCTTTAAATATCATTAAACGAGTGGGCGGGGCCTAAGAGTTTGACAGTGGATCCTGATCGGCTTGATTGGTCAAACTCAGGTGTAAACGAGGAGACAGAGGAGGGTTCGAAGGTCTCAGTGTTTCACATCAGACTCTCTCGAACTAAAACACCTCCAGACTCAGAGTCAGTTTTTCTGCTGAGACCTGACACCTGTGGGATTTATTCATATTTTTACCTCAACTGGAAAAAACTCCAGAAGAATTTAAAACTGAGGAAAAAAAAGATCAAATCCTGTTTTAGAAGAAGGGAGATGATCTTCTTTAAAGAGAACTTTGTCTCATCCTGCAGAAAAGGTGAAAATCTTCGATAGTTTTAATATCTTTAAAGGCTTTATGAGGCTCTACGTTTGACATCTTGTCGACCTCAGGAGTTAGTGGGATTATTTGACCTCACCTTTATGACCTCTGGGTCTTTTGTTGGCCTCGCTGGTGAGCGTCAGGGCCAGGAGGAGCAGCAGCGTCACTGAGAACAAACCTTGCATCCTGCAGAGACAGACACATGAAGGTCTTAAGGTGTGGATAGATATCAGGATAATAATAATAATAATAATTGAGTGGGATTGCGAAGCATTCCCACTATATGTTATTCATATCTTTATTATTAAGTGGAAATGCTGACACAGCATTTCCACTTATTGTTATTCTACTATTTCTTTATTATTATTATTATTCTTCCGTACCTTTTTTGGCCCTTTTCAACTCCTTACCACTTTGTGCTATTTTCACCATTCAAACTTTATACTAATGCACTCCTTCAGGACATTACGGCTATTACTTTTCACCTTTCTACCATTTATACTTTTTGCAATATTTCACTTTTTCTGCAAAAATTTGTTCCATTACAAATGAATGGAGATACAGCTATAACACCTTCTCACCCTTATAACTTCTGCATACTTTCACCTACAGACCTCATTTTTGCTTTAAAATGTTCAGCAACGTGTCTGCTACAAATGTTGTATTCACTCCTTTTTGCTATTTCCTACCGTTTTTGCACAATTTCGCTTGGAGCAACATGAAGTTGTCTGCCTTTTTCAGCCTGACTCACGCTACAGCGTCTGACGTCATCACTCGATGCGGGCGGGGCCTTTTGGATTCACTAGACCAAGCATGATTATTTTGCTGCTGCGGCCGCAATTTTCACTCCACAGCCATAAAAAACACATCAAAATGGAGGTACACTCGTCCTGCTTCTCACAAAATCGGTCTGAAGTCATGAAATTGTACAGCTTGCCCAGGAGGTGAGTACATTCCTTCAGAGCCAGAGATTCTGCACTTGTCATGGGCTGTGTGCTTCGATCGCACACGCACATGCACACGCACGGACTTGGCCGCTCGTGCGCGCGCGGGCACACACACATACACACACACTGTTTCCATGACTGCATTACTGTCTGTCTTTCTCTCTTACTGTCTCTCTGTCAGATTCTGCACTTGTCATGGGCTGTGTGCTTCGATCACACACGCACATGCACACGCACGGGCTCGGCCGCGCGCGCGCGCGCGGGCACACACACACACACACACACTGTTTCCATGACTGCATTACTGTCTGTCTTTCTCTCTTACTGTCTCTCTGTCAGATTCTGCACTTGTCATGGGCTGTGTGCTTCGATCGCACACGCACGGACTTGGCCGCTCGTGCGCGCGCGGGCACACACACATACACACACACTGTTTCCATGAGTGCATTAATGTCTCTCTTTCTCTCTTACTGTCTCTGTCAGATTCTGCACTTGTCATGGGCTGTGTGCTTCGATCACACACGCATATGCACACGCACGGGCTCGGCCGCGCGCGCGCGCGGGCACACACACACACACACACACTGTTTCCATGTGTGCATTACTGTCACTCTGTCAGTAGAAAATACAGCCCCAATATGAACTTTGTTGTTACAGTTCTTGTCTTTAACTCTTTTAACATACTAACTTCTTCTTTTTCTTCTACTTCTGCTTTTCTTTTCTATACTTTCTACATTTATACAATTAATTTAACTTCAGCTGTTTCATACTTTCTGCATTCAGATGTAGGGCAGTAACTGAAGCAGGGCAATAGATGGTGCTGTTCTGCATTCTCAAGTTACTATGGTTGGATGCTGCAGACTGCAAAAATCAGTTTTACTATTTGTACATTTAATAGGAACATTGTTACACATTGTTTAAAGGCATTTGTTTTTCAAATTCAATTATCCATATCAGTTCTGTTTATTCACATCAATCATATACATTTTTCACTTAGGCTATCAGACAATTTGTACATTAATCCAACTAATTTACCTCCAGCTATACTACAATTCTTCCATTGATACAATTTCTTCTTCTTCTACTCCACCTTTTCTACAGTTTTTCCGTTTATACCTTCCTCCATTTTTTATTGGCAGTTTTGCATTGCTTTTTCAGCTTTCAGCACTCAGCATTTCCACGCATTTTCTGCAAGGAAATGCAATTTTTCTAGTTCATATTATTATTATTCCACCGTTTTTTGGACCGCTACTCCTTCCACATACTTCAACGTATTCAAACCATTCAAACTTCAAAAGATTCATCTCATTCAGGAGATTCCGGCTTGTATTCAAAAATTTCCTAACATTCATACTTTCCGAGATATTCCAGGTTTTCCGACCGATTTCTCCCATTGGAAATGCATTACGGAATGTTCAAATTGTCCCTTTTCTCACATTTTCTTCACACAACTTCAAAAGCCTTCAACTCCTCTATACTTCCACGTAGAAACTTCATTCAAAAACCAAAATATTCACAAATTCGTCAGCATTATTCCACATCTTCAACATTTTTAATCCCATTTGTACTTTTCAAAATATTAAGATTTGTTTAAAACTTCGTTATAATGGGATTCAATGGGAAAAGGGCTTCAGACGTACTCAACTTCAACCTCTTCTCATTCATTCATACTTTCACCTAGAAACTTCATTCAAACTTTAAAATATTCACACATCTTCAGACATTCACTCATTCATTCACCATCTTCATGGCATTCATACTTTTCTCACAGTGACAGTTCAAAAAGTCCAAAGATTTTCTGACCGGTTCAGGTTTTAACATTAGTGTGTATTGCACGGAATGTTGGCCGCTAGAGTGGGTGACCTCACAGCTAGAGTGAGACAGGCAGAAAATTGATCCTCAAAACTTTGTCTTTACAAAAGGATTGTGGCAACTCACTTCGCTCTACACAGATAAAATTTGGTACAGTGATGGCAAAACTCGTTGTCACTCTTCATCCAAAAAATCAAAGCTGTAGGACACAAACAGTGGCCTGGGCAGACACCAACTGCCACAGACATCCCCCAGCTTTCTCCATTGACTCCAATGTAAACCTGAGAGGAGGATTTTCAGAGGAAACACAAACTGGACATGTTTTTAATTTGTCGTAGCGAAGGCATTTTTGGCTCCACAAACACAGAAGTTGTATCAACGTGTTCAGCCGGGCCTTGTGGTTCTCACAAGCTCCTGATCATGAAGACAGCAGTTACAGAGGATGAGAAATATGACGTTGTTTGGGCATTACGTTCTCAGCCTCAAGCCTCCTTTCTCCTGCTGTTGTTAAGCATCTATCGTCACCATGGCAACCAAAGGGAACACCTGGAGACACACAGCTGGCTGGAAAGCTGCTTCTAACAGCCATATGAGACACATGAAGCCAGGCTCAGTACACAGAGTACGGGGGGTAACATTTAAAACTTTATGGGGTCTAATCAGGATTTTTATTCATTTACATTGTCCCCATTTTTCAATCATTCATTGAAAATGCATAATTTAGTTCTTCAAACTGATTTAAACCGTTTTGATTCTTCAAACCTCTTTTTCTTCCAGATTTGTAACCTTTTAATTTTCCAGTTTTAAATATTTTTTACTCTTAATACATTATTCAGTTCTTTCAAACAAATTCCAACTCATTTGAACTGATTCAAACCTTATTGATTCTTCAAGCCTTTCCCATACTTCAGGGTTTTTAATCATTTTAATTTTCACATGTTGAATTTTTAAAATTATTATTCATGCATTATTCAATTCATTCAACAGAGTTTATTCAAACTGATTCAAATCTTCCTGATACTTCATACCTTTTGACCTTTCACATATTTTAAAATTCAGCCACTCGCAATAGCAGCGTAGCGCTAGCAATTTCAACTGAAGCAATCCCACTCGCAATTTCTTCAGAAATTGCATTTTCTAGTTATTATTATTATTATTATTATTCAGGATAATCCCGTGGACACTGTGGTCATAACAAAAACAGGAAGTGAACGTAGATCAGCCACGATGCCGCGTCTCCATCTCTGTGCCAACACTGAGGTAAAAAAACACTGAGGGTGTTTTAAATGTTGTTACCTGCACTGAGAGATTTAGACTTTTTATGAGGGGCGGAGCCAATGCTGCGAGCGGCGGGCGAGAGCTCTACTGAAATTACAGGAACATGCTATATAATATGACATTTTTACCATAACAAACTAAGATGTTTTGTTTTGTTTGGTTTTTTTGCATTTTTTAACACACTATACTATAATATTTTTTAACCTTTTTTTTATGCTAAAATTTGATTTTTTTCCACTCAACTATGACATTTTTTAACGTACTATACTTTGGCATTTTTTATAAATAAAATATAAAAAAATTTTCCACACTAAAATCAAACTTTTCATCATCCTATATTGACAAATTTTATCATTCTATACTATGTGAATTTTTGTTATACTCAAAAATATGATTTTTTCACATTAAAAAAATTGAATTTTTAACATACTATACTCTGACATTTTTTTCAAAAATTATTTTTTAAAGTTTTGGGTTTTTAACAAACGATAAAATGGCATTTTTTTAAAACTATATGATTATTTTTTTCCAAACCTAAATATGAAATTTTTAACATTTTTATCATTCTATATAATAACTTTATTTTCATGCTTAACGATACCTTTTTTACTACAAAAATATAATTATTCACACTTAAATAAGAATTTTTTTATTACTATACCATGACATGTTTAATCATACAAAAATCTGTTTTCTATCAAACCCATTCTATATTTTTTTTAACATACTATTCAATGACATTTATCTTTCATACTCAAATATAAATTATTCATAGACATTAAAATATTACATTTTTATCATACTATACTTTGACATTATTTTTCATCATAAAATATATATTCTTACACACTATAAGAGAAATTTTAAATGTACTTTACTTTGACATTTTTTTCGTACTGGACTGTGGTATTTTAACATTCTATGCTATGATATTTTTTTCGCATACTATTCTACAACATTTGTTATCATACATACTGTGATATTTTTTACATACTATACTTTGACATTTTAAACATACAATACTATGACTTTTTTTTAATCATACTATACTATGATTTTTTACATAATATACCATGATATTTTTTATTGCACTAGACTATGGTATTTTGACAAACTATACTATGACCTTTTTTATCATACTACACTCTGACATTATTTTTCATCATAAAATATAATTTTTTACACACTATAAGAGAAATTTTAATGGTTTATCATACTATACTATGACATTTATTTTTTGAACTCAAATGTGAATTTTTTTGTAGACACTAAATATGATATTTTTCTCATATAAAACTATATTTTTAACATAAGATAAGGCTTTGTGATTCATGCTATACTTTGATTTTTCTAACATACTATACAATTATTTTTTTACATACTATACTTTTACATTTTTTATAAAACTATACTATGATATTTTTTACACACTTTACTATCATACAACACATTATGACATTCTTTTACATACTATACTTTGAAATTTTTAACAAACTATTCTATGAAATTTTACATCATACTAAACTATGAAATTTATTTACCATCCTATACTATGACATTTTTATCATACTATACTGTGACATTTTTCTAACATACTATACCATACTAAAATATATTTTTTTCACATTAGAAGATGAATTTTGTAACAAACTACCGAGACTCTTTTTTTATACTTAAATATGTTTTTTATACCAAAATATGAGATCTTTTACAACCTTAACCATGACTTGTTTAACCTACGATACTATAGTATTCTACATTCTATTCTATATCATTTTTATCATACTTTACTGTGACTTTTTAATATACTTTAATAAGACATTTTTAACATACTATACTATGATTTTTATCATACTTTACTGTGACATTTTTATAAAACCTCAACCTCAACTACAACAGCAACAAACCTCAACAACAACAACAACACAATCCAACAACAACAATAACAACAAGGTGACACAAAAATGACAGAAACACAATGCCCCGACAAAAAACAAACTACTGCAAAAAAATCACACAAACACACTTTAAATCCACAAAAGTTTTAACATTTTCCAGGAAACCTTCTCAGAGGACCAATAAAGTTCTAATCTAATCTGAATTACTGAGAGCGAAACAACTATAAAGATGAAAACTGAACATGATCACAAACTCAGGAGGGAAACAGCAGAGCGGCAGAAAGCTGCAAAGACAAAAAATAAGAAAGGGAGAAAGACACAAAACAGCGACAAAGAGACTGACAACACCAACTAAAGGTGAAACACAAACACAACGAGTCACAAAACAAACACAAACAATTCAGTTTGTTTTTACTGAGCTCTGATTCTTTACACAACAAACAACAAACAGCTACAAAGAACTACGGCAACAACAAACAACCAGAAACAACTACAAACAAATAACAACATCAAACAACAACAGACAACCACAAACTACAAACAACCACAAACTACAAACAACAAACTACTACAGTGTTTTTCTGAGGAACTACAGAGGAGCATTAGGGATTAGCAGACATGTATCTCCATGAATCTGGTTTCTGTTGGACCTTCGGGGCCCCTGGTTCTGTTGGACCTTTGGGGCCCCTGGTTCTTCTGAGCTCAGGGGCCTCTGGTTTCACAGAGGGTCAGGTCTTCGGTCTCACCTGAACCTGAACCTGAACAGATTGAAGGTTCTAGAAAGTGTCTAAAATCTCAGTTTAAGTGTTTAGTCCTAATCTGAACATGTTGTGTTGAAGTTGTCATGATCCGGATCTGACCCGGTCTGGTGTTCTGGGGCCAGATGGTCCAAATGAAATCTGCTCTCCTCCAGATCTCTGAACACTAAACCAAATAATCGGACTATTGTAGTCGGAGCCGCATCAGGATTATGAAAGTAGGCTAATGTATGCAGAACCTGTTCCTGTTCTCAGCACGCACACACACACACACACACACACACACACACACACACTCACACACACACAGAGTTAGACGTTATTTAAACTCTCATATATTTTCCCGATCTCTCTCCGTATCGATAAAGACGAGCTGGAGGAGTCGGAGTTTCAGTCGGAGTTTCAGTCGGAGCTTCAGTGGCGGCTGCAGCGTCGGCTCAGAGCAGAAATGCGGCGCGGACTCTTGGCTGTGCACTGAGAGAAAGAGAGTCAATTACCCATAAAGCCCCTCTCTGGCGCTCTGTTGTTATTGTGCTGAGAAATGACAGACTCCTCTTTCAGGCCTCCATTAAAGCAAAGGAGCTCTTTCACATGTCAGCTGGCAGAGCAAATCCTGCTCTTCTCGCTCCTCCTGCAGCCTTTTATGAGGAGAGAACCGGCTCTCAGCAGGCCTCCAGTCTGTCCTCCATCAATGAAGAAGAGGAGGAGGAGGAGGAGGAGGAGGAAGAGGACGGAGAGGGAGGGGGAGCAGCGCCTGAAAGAGCTCTTTAGATTCCCCCTCAAAAGAATACTGATTCATTGGGCCAAAACAAAGCCTCTTCTAGCCTGGTTTCATTTCTCTAAAGCCTAACACAGATTCCACGCCACGTCTTAGGAGCTGTGCCCCCCCCCCCCCCCCTCTGCAGCAGCCCCCCGCCCCCCAGCCCTGAATAGAAACCTCTTTGCATAAGAAAACAATGAAATCACAGCATGGAGAAAAGGAGTGGGATGCTCCCTTTGGTCCAAAACGAGGAACGACATTTAGAGGAACTTCCTCCTGAATCTTAAAGTTCACCGTCGCATCCGGTGACACTTTCTCTCCTCGTCTTTTTTACATCCTTCGACTCTGACCAGACCAACAATAATTCATACGCAGAGATTTTACACAAATCCTGCAGAGTGAAGCCAAAAGAGAGAGACAGGCGTGCAGCAGAGCCCTGCTTTTAGTAGTTCTTCATCCTTCAATTCTGGACATTTTACACATGCATGAGACCGATCCTGCAGACGTTAGAAACAGACGAGCACACATGAGATTCAAGCTCCTCAGGAAAACTCAGACCTGCTGTGAAGGTTCGAACACCAGCGTCTGTCCTAGTTTAACTCAGAGGGACTGATTTACACGGATGGAAATTTAAATAAAGATCATTTAGAGAGAATTTAACTTGAAGATTAATGTTTAAATCTAGAAAATCCAGTTTAGAAAAACAGCTGGAGGTTAAAAAAGAAACACCCACAAACCTGATAGTTCAATCTTATCGATCAGTTCAGGATTTAAAGTATTCATCTTATTGGATCATGATAAAAACCAAGAACCTCATGTAGATATAACAACACTATAGAAACTGACATTTCCTGAGCAGCAGAGTGTGTTTGTGATGTAGAGAGGACAAACACTGGAACAGAAAACAACCACAGAACAAACCTGCATGGAGTTAACATCAGAGATTAGTGTTTTAAATGGAGAGAAGGTCAGTAATCTCATTTCTGAAATAAACAGTTAGTGAAATACATCTTAGAATAAAGTTTGAGCTCCGATGAAAACTTCCTCTCTGTTCTTCCTTTATCAAACATCAGCAGGAAGGATTCACTGACTTTTCTCTGAACAGGTTTTTCAAACTCATAAATCTGCAGAAGCTGAAATATTCAGATCTTTACTGTGTTCATGAACCTCCAAATATTCTGTTTTTATGTGACCGACAGCAGAGGAGCTGAAACCGGAGCTTAAAGAAGGACTTCAGAGGATAATCAGTTCATACATCTCTGCACTAACAGCTCTGTCTCAGCTCTCATCTCTGAGATAAGGAAAGGTTTTCTGAGCCTTCATGATAATCACAAACGTCCTGAACCAGTCGGTCAGAGAATGAAAAAGGAGAAGTGAGAAAAAAAACTGAACTTACATGCCGGAGGAGCAGCCAGTCGAGCCGTGGAGTCGTCGCCTTCTGACGCTGCCTTCAGCTGCTGCTGAGCATCCCTCCCCTCACACACACACACACACACGCACACACACACACACACACACACATACACACACGTCTCTCTCTCTCTCTCTCTCTCTCTTATTCACACACAATCCCTCCAAACTGGAGCCACGTCTTACCCAAAACCTTTAACCTAGTTTACAGATTTTAAAGATGTTAAGATGTACTCCACTAAACACACACACACACACACACACACACACACACACACACACACACACGTCTCTCTCTCTCTCTCTCTCTCTTATTCACACACAATCCCTCCAAACTGGAACCACGTCTTACCCAAAACCTTTAACCTAGTTAACAGATTTTAAAGATGTAAAGATGTACTCCACTAAACACACACACACACACTCAAACACACACAGACACACTCAAACACACACACACACTCACTTTCCTGTAAGTTTAGTAGGTCCCCAAATTTTGATGTGCAAACAAACCCGTGTCCTGATAACACCAGTAAAATAAGAACACACAAATAAAACCCGATTTCTACAGCCCAGTTTTTATTCTAAATCTCTAATATTTAAGAAACTGTGTTTGTTCCATTTAAATAAATACAGATATACAAACACTCACAACTTCACCAACACAAAGTTTTCACCCTCAAGTTCAAGTTTGGGGGGGGGGGGTACCTATAGTCATGGCAGGTTTTCAAACGTTGACACCTTTATGTTGACACCTGTATGAGTCACTCATGTCCCCACAACCTCAGTAACATAAGAACACACACTCACACATGCATTCTCTCATAAACCTTTTTATAGTTTTACAAAAGTTTCATCATCAACACTTTTAATGTTTTCATTAAATTCTGGTCCCCACTGTTTGAGTAATTAGGCACAAGTCCCCATAATATCACATTAACACGTCCACACACTCAAAGTCCCCACAATGTCACATTAACACGTCCACACACTCAAAGTCCCCACAATGTCACATTAACACGTCCACACACTCAAAGTCCCCACAATGTCACATTAACATGTCCACACACTCAAAGTCCCCATAATGTAAATATGTAAACAACATATGGACCATGTTGAGAGCAGCCTGATGGTGAGGCTGAGAGCTCTAATCCTGACTCTGGGAACAAAAGAAGACCAGTCCATTAGCATTACATCAAGTGTGTGTGTGTGTGTGTGTATTGTAGATGTTACATTTATTCATGAGTGTGTGTCTTTGCTCGGTTGAAACTGGATTAGAAGATCTCACAGACAGTAAAACTTGGAGGTTGATCTTTATTTGTTGAGGTTGGACACCCTGACCGAGCCGAACAGGCTGAAGGACACGCTGACAGGTCACCAGACGGTTAACCAGGTAAAAACGTCGACTGTTTCTGGATCCTCCTGCTCGTTTATTTCCTTGTAGTCCCGGCGAGTTGTCATCGAGACCCCTCAATCATGAAAGTGAGGAGGAACTTTTTAACGGTGTGGATCAGGAGAGGAGAATCCACCAGTCAGACGTGATTCTGCAGCTTCATTCCAACAGGAAGTTTGGAGACCAGTGACTGATTTTATTTTCATAAACTGTAAAAGTAAAAATCTTGAAGTTTGTAATAAACATCGTATCAGGAAGAGACGGACATCTGCAGGAATTCAGCTGATATCTTAAACTCGACTTGACTTTGTGTCTTTGTGTAAATAAAAATATTCAGATTGTTGCTCTTTATAACTTTCTTCTTCTAAAGGAGAACATCGTCTCTGAATTTAAGGAGAAACAGCGGTTCACAGGAGTTAGACCTGGACTCTCCAGTCCTGCTGAGTCGTGCAGAAGTCCTCCTCGTCTCTCTCTCTCTCTGAGACAAACAGCCTGAGGATCAGCAGAGTCGAGTCCGTCCCCGTCCTCTCATCATGGCTCAGTCACGCATGGAGACCTTTGTTTCGGTCTGCAGCTGTGGGGGTGGAGGTCCTGTAGGACCCCCGTCACTCCGTCACATGATGATGTTGTTGTTGTTGATGTTCTCTGCTCTGCTGGGACTGATGGACTCTCTGATACTGAGAGTAAAACTGACTCTTAAAGTTCAGGATCGACCGCAGCTCAATGTGGAGTTTGAAATTTTCTATTTATGATCATTAATTATCTAAAAAGTCATCAGGAGATTGATTCAGAGTAAAACAGCCGACTCTTGAAGCGGTTTGATGATATGGAGGAGGTGCAAAGAGCTCATTTATCCCAAAGACTTCAGTTTCTTAAAGCTGATATATTTTAGTCTCTGCAGACGGTTTCAGTTTGATTTAATTTTAATGAATTCGTTTTCTTTTTGTGCTCTCTGTGTTTTTATTAATCCTGTTTTGGTTTGGTTAAAAATAAGAGTGGTGGTGGATGAAGCTCGTCTACTTTTTATTTCAAAAAATTAACAAAAATCTGAAGGTGAAAATTTTAACTTTTTAAAATTAAAAAAGATCTTACAGTGAGGACGTTCTCACTGCTACAACATAAAACTAAATATCTGGATTTTTATCTTCCAGGAAGTTTTTTTTTTTTACACTTCCTGGAAAAATATGATCGGTTTTTTATTATTTTTCAAAGAAAGAAAAAAATTTGAAAAACACAGTCATCAGTTTGTGTTTTTGAAGTTTAAATATGAGTTTAAAAAAAGTAAATTGAAGTTAGAAGAATTGCTTTAAAATTGGCCTGTAAAACTGAATAATTTAAACTTTGGGTAAAGAAAATTAAAATGTTTCTTAGAAAACATTAAAGTTTTAATACTTTAAAAAAATGTTAAAACAGAGTTGGAATAGTTGGAACAGGGTTGAATTTTTCTATTAAAACTTTTGTACTTGAATTAAAAGAACTAAAACAAACATGGAGATTAAAAGTGAAACATTTTGCTCTAAGTTTGAGTTTAAGTTGAAAATGTTAAAACTGTAAATCAATGTTAAAATGTTTGTAGCATAAAATGGTAATTTCAATTGGAATATTTGCTCCAAAAGTTATTAAACTAAAGCTGAAATATTTAAACACAGAAAACAAACTGCTGTTGGAAAATTCAGAGAAAAATCAGGATTTAGAGGTGAAATATTAAATGACAAAACAGGTAAATTAAAGTGAAAATAATATCTCCAAAAATGGCAAAATAGAGTTTGAATACTTGGACAATAATTTGGTGACTGAAAATTAAATATTTTAAAAACTGAGTGACTGAAGTTATAAAAATAAAAATGAAATAAAGTCTGAGTGTTATTGTCGAGAATAGATGATGTTTAAAAAGATGAGAAAATGTCATCAGGATGGAGGACTTGTACGAAAATGAAAATGATTTCTGTTCAAAGCAAAAAATTCTGAAAAAAAACAAATAAATTCTAAAAGTTTGTGGGAAAAAAAGTTTGAATATTTGGATCAAAATTTGGGGACTGAAAATTGAATATTTTAAAAAATGAGTGATTGAAGTTATAAAAATGTTTGAATAGTTGGAAAGAAAATTTGGTGACTTTGTAGAAAAATGACAGAATTTCTGTTTATAACAAAAAAAGATTCTAAATTTAATCCTGTAAGTTTGTGTAAAATTTTTGAATATTTTGTTTTAACCTCTTTTTTTTTCTCCAGTATGACAAACGAACATTTTACCATCAGGTTCTTCATTCTCAATAATGTGACTGTCCTCACAGGAAGCTGTAACTGACATGCTTTATTGCAGGTCACTCAGAAATGATAAAACCAAAGAAAAACAGTTATTACTCCAATATTCAGACAGTAAAACGTCTTTATGAAGGTTATGTTATTGTTATTAATACAGACTAAACCGCTTTGGCAGAAACAGGCATCAGCTTCTGGTTCACACTTCCCACACGCCTCAGCTATTTACACAGACGACGGTCACGATGAAAGCGTCCTTTAAAGTTACGTAACAGACGAAAACAGACAAAGTCAAATAGCTAAAAGTCAGACTGAAGCAGACTCGCTTCTCTCAGTTTGATCACAAGAAAAATGTGTTTTTATCTCTACAAGTAAATCATAAATAGATCGTGTGTCTAAGTTAAATAAACACTTATTTCTGCTGAGTCAACAAGTACATCCAAAAGGTCACTAGAAGCTGGAAGAAGAAGAAGAAGAAGAAGAAGAAGAAGAAGAAGAAGAAGAAGACACGTTTTTGCAGCCGCTCTATCTGATATGGCAGAAGCTGGCGGTTCACGGCGTTCAGCTGCAGACGGCGCCATGAATACAGTCAGTGTTCGCTCACAGCAGCACTTTCTCTACACACACACACGGTCGTCTTTAACAGAGGTCAGAGCGCTAACGCCGCCGCCGCCGCCGCCGAGGCGATAAAGACACATTCAAAAAGCAGTTTGAGGAAGTTCTGAGAGAGAGAGACCGCTTAGTGTCCGCAGGGTTTTCTGGTCTTTAGTTTGGACTCCAGCTGAGGACAGAGGCGGTCTGTACGTCTACAAACCCGACTTCATCAGAGCGAAGCTTCATGGCTGAATGACGAGACGTTAATGATCCGTGGACACGTGTCTACCTGCCTCTACGTACGCGCTGATGTGTCCTCAGTCCATGTTCTGGAGCGGAGACACATTCATACACTCAAAGACCTAAAGACAGACGGAGGATCTGGACCCAGGATGGACCTCAGACCGCCGTCTCCTGGTCCTCCCTCTGGATCATCTGGTAATGTTGGCGGTTCTCCAGGTATTCAGCCAGTTCCTGGTCGTCGGCCTTCTCAGCTCGCTGTTTGGGGGTCTCACCCTGAAAGAGACCGAGACCTTCAGTCAAGAACCTCAGACCACATCCTGGACTCTGGGTCTGCCTGTTAAAGAAGTTCTTCTTCTACACTGAGACTTCCTGTGAAAGGGTTTATATGTGAATGAATGAATGAATGAATGATGGATGGGTGATGGATAATAAATTAATAAATGATGGATGGATGATTGATGAATGAATTATAAATGTATGTATGATGTTGGATGGATGATGAATTATGGATGATGAATGAATGAATGAATGATAGATAGATAGATAGATAGATGGACGCATGATGATGGATGAATGAAATATGGATGGATGGATTAGATAGATGATTGAATGATAGATGGATGGATGGATGATGAATGGATGAACTATAGATGATGGATGATAAATAAATGAATGAATGATGGATGGATGGATGGATGATGAATTATGGATGATGAATGAATGAATGAATGAATGATTGATAGATAGATAGATAGATGGATGGACACATGATGATGGATGAATGAACTATGGATGGATGAATGGATGAACTATAGATGATGGATGAATGGACAGATGATGGATGGATGGATGGATGGATGATAAATGACTGAGTGAATTATTGATGGACAGATAGATGGATGAATGATGAATGAATGATGGATGGTGTGAGAAAAAAGGAAGGATAAAGTCTCTGCAGTGGATCTGGGCGGCACACCAACACTGGAAACACACACACACACACACACACACACACAGTTACACACACACACACACACACAGTTACACACACACACACACACACTTACACACACACACACACACACACACAAGTCTTTTCATTGGCCGCGGAGGAGAAGAAGGAGAAGAAAACTCAGATTATGGGCTGCTTCCTGTTACCACTGACTTCACCATGGCGACGGAGAGCGGCGGTCTTTGTGTGTGTCGGAGCGAGGCCCGGGATCCTGCAGCGCTCGGTTTCTCAATGACACACAACATTAATCACTTTATAGAAGTGGGTCAGATCCTGCAGGAGATCCATCTAAGGGGGGGCCGGGGGGTCAGGACGGTGGTCATCTCTGCGCCTGAGAACATCGCCTCACAGGGCGGACCGAGACGGTTCACCAGAGCCAGGTCATCGAACCAGCAGGTTTGAGGGACTCTGGGTTTTCATTATAAACATACAGAACCAGAACTCTACCTGGACCTGTCAGAACTCACACGGACATCACGGCGCCTGCTGAACCAGGAGCCGTCCACTAACCCCCGATCTCCACCTTCATCCTGATGGTCTCCTAAAAGGTCGTATCCTCCGATCGTAGCTGATCGTAACCATTCAAGTTAACGTGTCAATTTACACCGACTTCTTTCCGTTCCTCTGAGGATCAAAATCAACATCTAACTCTCTTTTGGAAAAGACAACTGGGCTTAACGTAGAACTGGAAATCATAGATGCTGCATCCTCAGTTTTAAACAACATCTCCAGGTTTAAGAGCAACATCTGCGTCCATCTAGACAAAGACCTTCATATGATCCCAAACCAGATTCTGACAACAGCATGGTGATTATTACTTCAAGGAAATGATCATAAATGTTCTTCCTTGAGCTGCGGCACCCCGCTGTAGTCTGTAATGGACTGGCCTGAGGTCTCAGTACAAACAAGCGTCTGCTGGAAGAGAGTAGGTGAGTTGTGTTTAGTCTCTTTGCTAAAGAAATGAGTCAAAGTTAAAAAGATGTTTGGTGTCTAGTACTATGTCTGTGACCCTATATGTACTAACCTCAGTAGATCATGGTGTAGCTCCGTTCAGTAACAGAACCTCATTGGAAAATTAGCTGATTTAACTTTACTGTGCTCTTGTTCAAATATATTAACTCGACAGCACATAAATCCATACCTGTTAACAAAATCACAATTTTATTGATAATTCGGCTTCAAAAAAACACCTTTACCTTTTTATTTAACAAGTTTATTGGCCCAGCTTATAGACTACAGAAGTGAAGAAACACCCCGTCTACTGTTCTACTGTACTATGTCTGTGACCCTATATGTCCTGTTGATGAAGTTAGGTGCTGTTCTGAGCATTATTTTTGGCTATAGAGTGGCGTTTTGGTTGAGGGCGTGGCTCTCTGTATTGCTATCTGCGGTCGTTAATAGAGTTGGTATAACTAGAGACCCTCACAGGAGTCCTGGAGACCCTCACAGGTGAGCATTGTTTACCTGCAGGTCCGTCTTCATGAGCGACGCCCCGGCCTCCACCAGGCAGTGACAGATGCTCCTCTGACAGGAGGAGGCGGCTTTGTGGAGCGCCGTCTCTCCTCTGAAAAACACAAACTCAGATTTAGACCCTGAGAGACCAGAACTGGTCTGTGGGTGCAGGTTTAGAGGTTTTGAGGACTGAAGTGGACTCACGTCTCTCTCTCTGTGATGTCCAGATGAGATGTAGGAACTGAGAACAAAAACATACAAACAGGTTTTTAGATTAAATGTGCAGAAAAACTAAAGAGGAGATCATAAAATCAGAACATCCTTCAGTCTGGATCACTGTGAGTCCTCTCCAGTCTGAAAATGTTCAGAATCAAACTGGTCCGACTGGATCTTCTACATTCATGTTCAGGTGTATGTGAAGTATGTGACGCCGTCCTGCTGCAGGTGAGCACACAGATAAGATCACCATCATGGTTGGAGGACTCTGAGCTCTCTGACAGACAAAAGGAGACGGAGCAGAAAAACCAGAACGTGGATTTCCTGTTGGGTCAGGTTTTCAGCGGTTTAAAGCTCCTCTAAGAACATCAGCTGCTGGAAAAGAGGAACACTAAAACCGAACAGACGAAGAGTTTAAATCAGAGCAAAGATCTCTAAAGACTGACGAGCACGAGCGTCTAGAAACCTCTGGACTGAAACAAAAACCTCTGAGGGCTTCATCAGGACTTCATCTTCTACTCTCTGTCTAATGATCCGCTGTTGGCGCCCCCCAGTGGTGGTATAACAAAAACGAATCCCTGACACCTGTCTGATCAGAAACTAAAGTGTAAATTTGATCTAAAGAGAGAAACGAGCAGCCAGAATAACTGAGCCAATCACAACTGGTGATTTTAGGGCGCCACCCCTCTGGACACACCCCTGACCCTTTCTTTTTTCTGTCCTCGACGTAAAAGTTTCAGTTTTAGACACAGAATGAATCAGTAAAAACCTGACTGTGGTTTTTAAAAGTTAGTCTAAGAGGAAGTTTGTTGAATTTTAACATTTAAATAAAGTTTCCTCTTTTTTCTAAGAAGTCCAAATGTCACACCGTTGTCAATGAGGTACTTGAGGATCTCTTTGCTGCCGGCCTCCACGCCATGATGCAGCAGCGTGCAGCCGGCGGCGTCCTGCAGCAGGAGGTCTGCCCCCTGCTGGTGGAGCTCCATCAGCTGCACAACAACAACAAACAACAACAACATTAATAACATTTAATACACTAATACCATTAATAACAACATTATTAACATTAATAACAGCATTATTAACTAAAATAACAACATTACTAACTTTAATAACAACACTAATAACATTCAAAACACTAATACCATTAATAACAACATTATTAACATTAATAACAGCATAATTAACATTAATAACAGCATAATAAACATTAATAACAACATTATTAACATTAATAACAGCATAATAAACATTAATAACAACATAATTAACATTAATAACAGCATTATTAACATTAATAACAAAATAATAAGCATTAATAACATCATTATTAACATTTATAACAACATTATTAACATGAGGAGGAGAAGGTGAGCGGTCAGGTTGAGAGTTCAGGGTTTCGAGGTTTCAGACTCACTCTGTTCAGATCTTCAGTCTTGATGCAGTTTATTAATTCTGCATCTGAAAAACAAAGACATCCACGTCAGTGATCATCCTGTTTAACGCACTTTTAAAGCTTCATCTATTTTTTTTCTTTCTCAACTCCATTTTTCCCCTTTTCTTTCATGAATTCATCACTCTAATATGACTGTTTCAGTTTGTTTCTGCGGGTTTTAACCTCGTCTGATCTTGAGGAAAATTAAAACTCAGAAATTTACATTTTTCTACAGAAATTTTTTAACTTTTTAACTTGTTTTGGTAGAAAAGATTTGATCTTTAAGCACTTCACTGAAAATATCTTCTAATTTTGAAGTTGCAGATTTTGTTTTTTGTTTTTCATATTTTATTTAGTTTTTTAACTTTATTGAAATTTTATTTTGACTTTGTGTAACAATCTTTACTCACTTTTTCACACTTGAGTTGAATTATTTATTTGTTAAAATATCCTATATAAGAATTTAGTCTAAATTTTAAAATTATCCTGTAATAAAAACACAATAATATCACGTTTCAGAGCTAATTAAAGTTAAATTCTTCTGCTCCTTTTTAAATCAAACTTCAGTAAATTCGTTTCTTTTGATGGTTTTTTTTTGGTCCCTTTTCAAACCTGAACCTCAATCTGAACCTGCCAGTGAGGAATCCTCAACAATGATTGGCTATCAGCCCCAGTGGAGGCGGGGCCTATTCTAAGATGATGGAAATGTGCAGCCAATAGGAGGAACTTTTACCTTTGTCAGGGTCGTGTGAGGTAGCACTGGAGGGACTGTGAGGGAGAAAAACCAGGACAGGTGTGTGAGCGAGGGGAACAGATCTGACTCTATACAAACACACAAGAAACACACTGAACACACACACACACGCACACACACACGTATGTACACGGCGAACAGCGTTACCTAATGATGGGTTTGAAATCGGCGAGCGTTGTGTTGGAGCGATGAACATTGAGGATCTTTGCTCCTCTCCTTAGACACACAAACACACAAATACACACCACAGGTAAACAAGGACAGGTGAGACTCTGCAGTACTGCAGTATCAGGTACTTTGTTCTCAGTACTGCAGTATCAGGTACTGTGTACCTGCAGTACTACTGAGTACTCTGAAAATGAGTGACAGGAAACTTGAATCTGTTTGAGTCGCTTAAAAAAAACAGGATGGACCCAGAACAGCTGAGAGGTTCTCCAGGTGTTTCCTCAGGTGACCTTGACATGACGGCAGATACACACACACACACACACGCACACACAAACACACACACACACACACACACACACACACACATGCACACGCAGGACAAGAACAACAAGGCACACAACATGAGGACCACACACACCTCAGGATCCCAAAGAGACTCTGAGGGGCTCTGAAACGACTCCGACCTCCTTTAGCCTGAGTGTGTGTGTGTGTGTGTGTGTGTGTGTGTGTGTGTGTGTGTGTGTGTGTGTGTTTATGTGTGTGTAGTACCTGCAGAGGGCAGTCTTCGACGAGCTCTCGGACAGAGCATCAGCCACAGAGCTGTCACTGGAGATCCTCTTCCTCTGGAACTCCCTCACCCTGAACACACACACACAAACACACACACACACACACACACACACACACACGCTGTGTTATACACAGTTTTTCTGACGGACTGTATCTTCTCCTCTGAAGCTGCAGGTTTGATGTCCAGCTCCCTCTGAAGCTGCAGTACCTGCTCCATCCAGCAGGTGGAGCTCCACCCACACAGAACAGATCTGCTGATGGTGGAAACGCTCTCAGGTAAACCACTGCTCAACGCTGAGTTTGAAGGTCGGTCACATTTACCAGGTGAAGTTTTTACGTTTTTTTATTTTTTTTTGCTCTTAAACTCTAAAGATGAAGATCACGACGACGACACCACAACCATAAAAATGGATTCACGCTCAACAGACACCTGACCCTCACCTGGGCGTGGTGGAGGACGGCGAGCAGGGGAAGGCGAACTGTTTCGGCTGTTCCTGGTGTCCCTCAGAGTCCACCAGGTCCGGCATACCTGGAGAGGTGCCCACCGTCTCCTTGGCGACCAGCTCAGGGTCCAGGATGTAGAGCTCCTCCTGCGAGATCTCCGTCACGTAGTTCAGGTGCTCCTGGAGACGTCAGGAAACAGTTTCTCAGGTAAACATGATTTTTAACGTGATTCAGGTCGATTCATGAAAAATCAACAGGAAGTAAAAAATGACGGCGTGAGTCTGAGGTGTTCACGGTGACCACGGGTCAAACGTCCGTCCAATCAACTTCCTGCTGCTGCTGCTGCTGCTGTCTCACCTGAGCTCGGTCGATCCTGTAGAAACGATCCGCAGTCGTACCTGGAGTAGAGAGCACAGATCAGGTTTCAGAGTGTGTGAGTGTGCGTGTGTGTGTGTGTATGCGCGTGTGTGTGCGCGTGTGTGTGCGCGTGTGTGTGTGTGCGTGTGTGTGTGTGTGTGGACTCACAGTCCAGGAAACACCACTTCATGGAGAGTTTCTGTGAGGACACACACTCCCCCTTCATCTCCTCACAGTCCTGAAGGAAAAGGTCAGAGGTCAGATTTACCTGCTGCTGAAATTCAAATAAAAGTTCAATAAAATTTTAATGATAAAGAAATTCAATAAATCCACTTTAAAAACACTAAAACTCCTCAGGCAGGGAGGATCTGGTGGAAACGTCTGTTTCTAATAAAAGCCTGTTTCATATAAAGGCCTGCTACCTCATGTGACCTGTATTAGGGTATTTACGGTAATTTTAATGTGGGGAGCACCTGGTCCAGGTTGTCCTGCAGACGGTCGATCAGCAGGCGGCAAGTTTCCAGGTCGCTGTCTCCAGGAACTGTGATGACTCCGAGCGGCATCGCTGCGGGACGAAAAACAACAACTCAGTCAGAAACAAACAAACAAAAACAAACAAACAAACAAACAAAAACAAACAGAAAACAGAAACAAAAACAAACAAACAAAAACAAACAGAAAACAGAAACAGAAACAAACAAACGAACAAACAAAAACAAACAGAAAACAGAAACAGAAACAAACAGACAAACAAACAAAAACAAACAAACAAAAACAAACAGAAAACAAACAGAAACAAACAAACGAAAAACAAACAAACAAACAAACAAACAAACAAACAAAAAAACAAACAAACAAACAAACAAACAAAAACAAACAGAAAACAGAAACAGAAACAGAAACAAACAAACAAACAAACTAAAAACAAACAAACAAACACAAAAACAAACAAACGAAAAACAAACAAAAAACAGAAACAAAAACAAACAAAAACAGAAACAAAAACAAACATATTAACTGACTTTAAAGAAAAATACTGTTTTAGACCAACATTCCCCCCCCCAAATTTTTTTCTTTCCAGTTTTTTTTTTTTTTATTGCTTTGATGAAATAAGTGATTAAATTGAAAAACCTTTAGGACCGTTTTTATCACAATCTCAAAAAAAGGAGAAAAGACGTCTTTTATACTGACATCAGGACCGACTCCTGCATCACTGTCACTGAAACAAACTTAGAGAGAGAGTTTGTCAAACCTGAGTTCTTCTCTGTTTTAACCGAGTTTATTTTAATAACTAAAGACAGTTTTGGTTCGTAGGGACTCGGTTAACCCCTCGCTGACTCACACGCCTCCTTCAGCTGGTCCTTGTCGTAGTGAAGAGCTTCGTACGCCGCCATGCTGATCCTGTTCACTCGGATCTGCAGCTTCTCAGGAACGGGCTGCTGACTGCACACAAACATCACAGTACGATCACACGCACAGGTAACACACACCTGTACGCCACAGCTCTGTGTATTTGTACTTTAATACCAGGGGCAGGTGTACTGCAATAATCAGAGTATTAGTACTCTAATAAAGGTGAGGTAGTTACTCGTTCAGGTGGGGCATGGAGATCCTCCTCTTGGCCTTCTGCACCATGTTGGCCTGGTTCCTCAGGTCGATGTGGATGACGGAGGGCGCCAGTTTACACGGCTCCCCGTCCACCTGCATGGGGATGGACTTAAAGGTGGTCAGGGTCACCTCCTTACACTGATGGAGCCGCTCGCCGTGACCCCCCACCTGCAGCGTGGCCTGGACACGGGGGGAGAGAGAGGCAGTGTGAACGTGCAGACACAGGTGAGACACAGGTGAGACACGGGTGAGACACAGGTGAGACACAGGTGAGACACAGGTGATGCAAATGTAGACCCCAGGAAGCACAGGTAAACCACAGGTGAACACACGAGTTACACAACAACCACTACAGGTGACGTACACACTGACACAGGTGAGACACAGGTAACATGAAGACAATTAATCAAGGTTAATCAAACAAAGGTAACACAGGGTCCACCACAGGTAACGTGTGTTACTATGGTAACACAGGCAACTTAAGAGTCATCACAGGTAGATCTCAGGTAACATAGAAAGGACCACAGGTGATCTTCAGTAAAACAGGTATGCATGTGTTGAACCCAGGTAACCTAGGTAACACAATGTTTACTACAGGTGACGTACAAATGAGCACAGGTAACCATGGACTACAGGTAACCATGGACTACAGGTAACCATGGACTACAGGTTACCATGGACTACAGGTAACCATGGACGTAACCATGGACTACAGGTAACCATGGACGTAACCATGGACTACAGGTAACCATGGACTACAGGTAACCATGGACTACAGGTAACCATGGACTACAGGTAACCATGGACTACAGGTAACCATGGACGTAACCATGGACTACAGGTTACCATGGACTACAGGTAACCATGGACTACAGGTAACCATGGACTACAGGTAACCATGGACTACAGGTAACCATGGACGTAACCATGGACTACAGGTAACCATGGACGTAACCATGGACTAGAGGTAACCATGGACTACAGGTAACCATGGACTACAGGTAACCATGGACGTAACCATGGACTACAGGTAACCATGGACTACAGGTAACCATGGACCACTCAGGTTAAACAAAAATAGAAGATGACCACGAAAAGGAAACTAGTTAAACACAGATATCAGGAGGTGAAGTACAAGTACACACACAGGTGTACACACACAGGTACACACACAGGTACACACACAGGTGTACACACACAGGTACACACACAGGTACACACACAGGTACACACACAGGTACACACACAGGTGTACACACACAGGTACACACACAGGTACACAAACAGGTACACACACAGGTACACACACAGGTGTACACAGCTGATGTGGAAGGTAACAGGAAGTGTGGGTTACTTCAGGTCAAACATCAAACAAACATCTAATCATGAAGGTACACACAGGTGTATACTTGTGTGTACCTCACAGGTAACAAACACAGGTGAGGTGAACACCTGGGGGAGGGGCCTACAGGTGAACATGGATCTTACCAGACTGGTCATGGTGAACCCGATGACCTCGATGCAGCCGTCGTCATGGCGCTGAGGCTCAAAGTCCTGGTGCTCGCTGGGGTGACCCCACGGTACGGTTCCGGCGCAGTACCTGGACGACACTCACCTGTTACTCAGACTGACACACTGTGACTCACAAACGCCCTGAACAGGAACGATCGGGTTTTAAAGGTGCGTGTGGTTTTATAGCGTACCTGGGGATGTTGAGGAAGAGGAGACACTGCAGCTTCATGTCCTGGACTTTGGCGGTCAGGTCTGTGCCGTCACACTGAGACACACCGACACACCCCTTAACCTCTTAAACCAATCATATCACTTTATACACAGATCAGAGCAGGAAGTAAAAACAAATATTCTGTTGGATTAACGTCACCCTAAAACCAGAGCGCCGTCACCTCGTGACGCGGGGTTATGACCTCATGAGGTCACGCCTAAATCCCCGTGTCTGCTTTAACCATCTGTACCCACTGACAGTACGGGAGTTGAACCCACCACCACTCGGATGTGCTTGGCGAGGTCTTTGGAGCTCCCGCTGAGGAAGTCTGAGAAGGCGGTCTGTCACAAACAGGAAGAACAAACGTTAGAAACGTTTTAACGCGTCGATGAGAAAAGTGAGGATGAGGAGAGCGGACTCACGCCGGCGTAGAACATCTTATTCCTGAAGCGGCTGTTAAACTTCTCGGGGTTCGCCTCTGAGACGAGGAAAACACGAGAAAACACGAGAATTAATCAAAGTTCGGAGTTTTTGTCCCTGACAGGCTCCGGTAGGTTTTCTGATGTGTGTGTGTGTGTGTGTGTGTGTGTGTGTGTGTGTGTGTGTGTGTGTGTGTGTGTGCGTGTGTGTGTGTGTGTGGACTAACCTCTGGATTCGTGGAAGCCCAGCGTGACGTGAGCGTCGAAGCCCAGACTGAAGTAGTTGTTGAAGACGTCGATGGGGAGCTGACGGACAGAGACAGACGTCATCAGACGGAGCGAGCGTTTACAGACCAGGGGCCTCATGTATCAACGCTTGCGGCGCAAGAAAACCTTGCGTACGCCAAAATCGGCGCACACGTCCAGATTTATCATCGCGAAACGAGCGTCGGTTCCAGCGCTAATCAACGCAAAGTCAGGAGGTGGTGTAGAAATTGGCGTTGAGCTGGATATTTGCGTTGACTGTGATTCGCACTTTGGCGACGCTGTGTGGCGGTGTTTGGTGACTCACTATGTGACAAGCGTGCACCACATCCCCGTGGCCGAGCAGCACGTCGCCCCACATGACGAACCAGCAGCAGACGGAGGGATGCGAGCTGATCCCTGCCGGGCCGCCGTCCTCGCGCGGGAGAATCTCATCGCCACAGTGTGAATGGGTAAGAAGTGAATACACAGTTCAATGAGCCAAATTAATTTATTTTCTCCACCAGACGCTCGAGGAAATTTACGAGCCGGTCCAGCCGCTCGTTGATCCCCGCGATCCCCCTGATGATTTCTTCCTGCGATTGCAGGACCCCCTCCGCGAGGACCCTTCCACTGCGTCCGGGTGGTCCAGCGGAAGCGCCGCGGCTGGTGGACGCTCCACCGCTTGTCGGCGCGCTGGTGCTGATGCTGGTGCTGGGGCCGGGGGCCGGGGTGGCCCGAATGCCGCTGGTCCTGGCCGACGACTCCGAGCCGGCGGACGGGCTGCCGCGGGCCGGGGTTCCACAAGCCGGCGACACGGCCGACACATTAATTTCTGTGACACAATAAAAATATTAGTTCATTTCAATTCCTGCTTCTGTGTATCTGTTGCGTTTACATCTCTCTCCACGGTATCATAGGTAATGTAATCCAATATTTCGAGGTCAGTTATGCACATTACAGTTGTTTATTGCATAAAAAGTTATCAAAAAATGAAGTTAAGGGTGAAGTATAAATCACGTCTCAAAATAGACTGAATCCCGACGTTGAAATGAAGTATAAACTTAGACTAGATGTCTAATATACGTCTTTTGCTCAGTGGGATGACAAAGCATGTGGACATTTGTGTGACACGCCACTTACCCTATAATAATAATCGCCACCACCCGCTGCTCAAACGGTGTGAGGGTCTCCTCCCCCGGACCCCCACCTGTCTGGCCGGTACTCCTCCGGAGGGCAGCTGTACGCCGCTTGACCTCCACCTTGAGGTCCGACCACTTTTTTTTAATCTCCGCGGGGGTGCGTGTCTCGGAACCCACCGCATTCACCCTCTCGCAAAATTTCTCCCACTCCAAGCGTTTTTGTTTTGCACTGACGCCACTGGACAGGCTGCCAAACAAAACACGCTGTCGCTCCTCCGCCTCCGCCACCAGCACCTCCACCTCGCACGCCGTAAATTTAGTTTTTCTTGTCATTTTGTCTGCGTGCGAGGACAGGGAGACCCTATTTAAATAAATCTGCATATTTATAGGAGGGCGTAACGGGGGCTGGCCCAGTCACTCCGACTTCTGCGCTCAATTCCACGCTGATTGGGATTTATCAAGGAAACACACGTGGATTTCGGCGCCCGCACACATTGATACATACGGATTTTTTTCAGCGTTACGGACCTTGCGTGCGCTTGTTTCTGGTATGAGTTCCACGCAAGTGTTGATACATGAGGCCCCAGTTCTGGTTCAAGAACCCGGCTCACCTTGTCTGTCTGGTGTTCATCCTGGTCCTCAGGGCGGGCCTCAGGGTTCGGCTCCACGTTCAGGTTCCAGCGGTCCAGCTGGACGATGTTCCCGTCCTCCACGTGTGAGAGGATCTTTGTGATTGGCTCGTCGGTGTAGCCCTAGGGGAAGGGGGCGGAGTTTAGCTGGTGTTGATGTGGGACTAAAATGAACCCTGAAAAACTCTAAGAGACCTCACCCCGCCCCAGTTCAGGGTCCGAGCCAGATCGTTCCCGGTCCCCAGAGGAAGGATTCCCACGGGGGGCTGAGGGCGGAGCTTCAACTGGTCCAAAACAGACAAGATCCAACCCACCTGAACACACACACACACACACACACACACACACACACACACACACACACACACACACACACTCCTCAGGAACATGCTGACCTGGTTCAGTTCAGATCCTAGAGTTAGTTCAGGCAGGTCGTCTCATCCACTGATTCTGACTCCAGCTCTCAGACCCCGCCCCTCCTGTAAGCTCCGCCTCTCGTGTGTTTGAGGCTGATAAAGTGTGACTCACCGTCCCGTCCCCCCCACAGGCCAGGATCCTCAGGTTGGGCACTTTGGCGTACAGTTCCAGTCTGCAGGAGAAAAAACCGAACCCGGGTCAAACGGACTGAAGGAACGCCGAGTTCTGGATTCAGAACTCACCCAGAACCTCAAACCCTGACGGCTGACCTGACCTTAAAGTTCCTGTTTGACTGTTGGACCGGGGTCTTCGTTTATCGTAGAAAAGGTTCTAGATTCTGTCGTAGGAATGAAACCCGTAAGGTCGTACGAACACGTCAGTGATCGGTGATGATAAATCCCGCCTCTTCTTTCCTGGCGTGCTCGTTCATGGTTAGGGTCATTAACATTTAGACACGCCTCCAACTGACCATATATGGTATCAACAATCCCTTTGAAAATGCCTGAATGTATTTTTTCCCAAATCATGGCGGTGAACACTCACAGTCGTGCGTTCCTCCAACAACATTTAACAGAAACAAATCAGAGACGAAGCGTTTCAGATTATTGATCATTGATTGATTGAAATCCTTTCCTGTTGATTAAACTGAATTCATCATGTGAAGGTTCTTTTATTACGATGTGGTCAAATCTACGGCTCCAGTCGTTTTATTTTGGCGTGTTGCTGACGTGTGTTTGGGAACTGGATGTAAGTCGAGGTCAGAGAAATTATTGATCAACTCTGCCGACATGATTCTGTTAGCGTTGTCTGTGAAATGTGATGGCGTTGGAGCGTTTTGTCTCTCGCTCCGACACGGTTGTAAATCACGGATCATAAATCCATTCAGATGTTTTTGGGGAAGCGGTTCCTGCTGAGAATCCACTCTGAGTTCTTAATGAACAGGTCAGCACGCTCTTTGGAAACGCCGCGCTCCCTGAGGAGGAGGAGAAGGAGGAGGAGGAGCAGACGCTTCGCCAAGTCCTCCGACAGAACAAAATAAACCAGGAAACTTGTGTTTGTTCTTGTCAGACTTCTTCTGAGGTTGTCCCCTCTCAGCTGATTTTATAACTCGTCTCACCGATCATTGAAAATGTCTGATCAATAACTAACTGATCAGTTTTGTACAGAGTGAACAGAGAACATGTGAAGTCTGAGATCGCTGAACGATTGAATGAGGACCTGGACTTTCTTAGACGAGTCACAGACGGACTTTGGACCCAGGAGGACTCAGACCCCCTCCCTGAACTTCTACATTAAACGGCGGAGCTGCTGGGTTCATGCTCACCCCTCTTTGGGTCCACCCTTGGTCAGGTCGAACACCTGTCGGGGGTTCAGGTACCACATGAAGGACTGGATGATCTTGGCTCCCTGACAGTGAGACACGAGAATCGGTCAGATTAACCAAGAACAGGATTCTGGGTAAAAACAGGTCAAGATGGAGCGTGTCTCCACCTGGTTTCCTCCACTCTTCGGGTTCACGAACACCAACAGAGGCTTCATGAGCTGAGAGGGGAGGGGCTTCACCAGGAAGGGCTTCCAGCGGCCATCTTGGACCTGAGAAGATGAGCAGATATGACCTTAAGAAGATTTAAGACAACAACGACTCATGAACCCAGAGGAGAAAACAACCACATCCTTCAGCTGGATGAACCTCACCTTCTCCTCCATCAGTCTGGATCAACCAGATCCTGATGGTGACCTGGAGGCTCAGACCAGGACCAGGACCAGACACTCAGTTTGAGCTGTGGTCCACCTGTCTCCACTGAGACTCATGAGTCACTGCTCCTCTCTCTGAGTCTTTGGGTCCCTGTGTGATCCGTCTTTACTGACTCTCAGTTTTACTGTTTTTATTTGATAATTTCATATTTTATAAAACAGGTTTATCAAAAGTCTAAATTCAGGATTTTTTGCGTCTGTCTCCAGAAGAGGAAAAAAAAAAAAACTTTAAATGTTTTTTTTCTTAACGAAGTTTGGTTGAACTTCCTCTGACTCAGCATTAAGAGAATCAGGACGCTGTGTCGACAGTTTCTCAAGAAGGGTTTGACTCTAACTTTGTTCTCCTGAGTTAAAAAGTTAGGAGCACAAAGAACTTTAGGGGATCAATGAAAACTGATCAATAATGTTTGTCTTATTGATCGACCTTAGTACTATTATTAGAAATCAATTTTAGGTCTTTTGGTCACATGACAGTGAAGCTATTGAAGGAAAACAGCCTTTTCTGAGAACATCAACCGGTAATTTATTGACGGTCCCTTATTCAACACAGACGTTGACAGTGAGGGTGTCGAGTAGATTTAACCGCGCTGCTGTTGTTATTCCCGGTTATGGAGAGAGAGAAGACACCGGTAGATCCTCAGAGAATGTCCGTCAGATATCCAACCTGAAACTAACTTCACCGCCGTATTTACAGGAAAATATATCCAACCTAAAACTAACTTCACCGCCATATTTACAGGAAAATATATCCAACCTGAAACTAACTTCACCGCCGTATTTACAGGAAAATATATCCAACCTGAAACTAACTTCACCGCCGTATTTACAGGAAAATATATCCAACCTGAAACTAACTTATTTACAGGAAAATATATCCAACCTGAAACTAACTTCACCGCTGTATTTACAGGAAAATATATCCAACCTGAAACTAACTTCACCGCCGTATTAACAGGAAAATATATCCAACCTAAAACTAACTTCACCGCCGTATTTACAGGAAAATATATCCAACCTGAAACTAACTTCACCGCCGTATTTACAGGAAAATATATCCAACCTGAAACTAACTTCACCGCTGTATTTACAGGAAAATACATCCAACCTGAAACTAACTTCACCGCCGTATTTACAGGAAAATATATCCAACCTGAAACTAACTTCACCGCCGTATTTACAGGAAAATATATCCAACCTGAAACTAACTTCACCGCCGTATTTACAGGAAAATATATCCAACCTGAAACTAACTTCACCGCCTTATTTACAGGAAAAATAAACATTTGTTGATTTTTTTTTATTGACCCTGAATACGTTTGACATTTCACACACATCTATCTTTAGACGTAAATTTGAGTGAAACGGTCGAACTGTCGAACTCTGTCATGACTGAAAATCTCCTCTTTGGTTCGGTTCTGTTGGAGCGGTTCTGTTGGAGCGGGTCTTCCTCACCTCTGATCCTTTCTTGCTGGACTTGTTGCATTTCAGAGACGTCCTTTTCTTCTTTTTGCTGGACTTCAGAGACGTCTGCACAAACAAACATCAGCCGTTATTCCGGTCAGAGTCTGAAACCGGATCTGTCTGCAGGTCCGGGACCTACCTGTGTTCTGCGGACCCTGATGATCCAGGTTGGGGGGACGATGACGGCGGCGTGAGCTCCCAGAGAGCAGCACTCCTCGATCTGCTGCAGCATGAAGCACGTCACCTTGTTGTGATACTGAAACACAGACAGGAAGTGATGTCACTGAAACACACCTGAGAGCCGAGACCGCGTCCCTGAACCCTCTGGAACCTGACAGGTGGGTCGGGACTTACCGCCTGTTTGCACCACGAACAGCTGATGGCGACGATCTCTTTGCTGTGAAACGAAAACTTCTGCTGAAACCCCTACAAAATAAAAGACCCGTTAGCGCTCTGACTCTACACCCTTTCAGAATAAAAGCCTGAGGGGGCGATGGAGTCTCACCTTCCCACACTGCCGACACTTCCCGGTCTGGCGCCTCCTGTGGACCCAGTGGTGCCGCACCATGTTGGGCTGAAACAGAACCGTTGTTAATGGACAGTTTGATCACAGACCGGGTCAGAGAGTCATGTGACTGAACTGGGTCGTACCTCTCGGACCGCTCGAGATCCCGGTTCCCTAAAAGACGGCTTGCACCTGAAATTGATCTGCAAAGAGGAAGAAAAGCCCGTGAGGAGGACAGGGAGTAAAAAAAACCCGGTCCGGTTAAACGTGATGATCCGGACTCACCTTCTCCAGCTGCTCCATACACATGGTGTGGACCGAGATCTTACAGCCCGCACATTTCCTTCTCGCCACCGACTTTTGCTGCAACGATAAGAGACCGAGTTCAGAATCTGAGGGTCTGAGAGATCAGGGTCGGAGTCTTTATGGACCTCTGGTTTGATCTCCTCCTCTTTGTTAATTCTAGAGAAAGCCGACTGAATGGTCGTCTGTTTCGGCTCCTCGCTCCTCTCGGGGTTCGTAACCTTTTGCGTTGCGCGTGCTCTGCGGCGTGGCGCTGCTTCAGGTGGTGAAAAAGATTTGAGGTATTCCCCGACTTTGTGAGAACATGTACTCGACATAATTTACAGTCCACATTACTCTGCTTCATGTCCGACCTCCAAAAACCAAAATACCTCCACACCACCGCCGTTTTCCTAACGCCAGTGTTGTGGTTGACATTGATGTGGTCATCTGTTGAGCCTTCATGGTCATTTCTGTCGGGGGTAGCACTCATTTTCTTTGTTTCTCACCAACAGTGCTGTCGGCTTCACCTGTTAAAGTGCTATGGTTGGGTGGAGCTGCTGTCTGCTACGACGCTGCAGTTGGTTGATACTTGGTTCTAATTCAGAACATGATTGGTTCAGACCCGGAGACACGCCCCTTTTCATTGGCTGTTCGTATAGTCGACCAAAACATGTCAGAATGACGACTATTGAAAAGGATATTGATCATGTTTGATATTGGTATTGAGGTAAATTGATTTTGGATATAAATCATTATCGTTTTTTGGCTCCGCCCTCCTTGAAAACATCCGAACTCTTCGGTTACTTTAATCTCTGCGGTTCAATCAAAGTTTCTGCTGAACTCTGGACCCGGGTTCGATCTGGACCTGATCTTCTGGGAAGAGTCTGGAGGTCATGATTGTTGAGATTTAGCGCTACAAAAAAATGATCGATTGGTTGATTGATTGAGTATCTGATCGTTTATAGAAATATCGATCGCGTGGACTCTTGGTACTCAGCTGAGAGGGCGGAGTCTGAAGTTAAACCGGGTTTTCATGTAGACCGGCAGTTACAGGATCAAGGTGTCCATTAAAATCAATATCAAAGTAATGACACAGTCTGACCACAGGGGGGGCGCTGTGACTCACCAGGGATTTAGCGATGCAGTACTGCTCCCCAACATAGCAGAAGTCTCCAGACCCGCTCGTCTCGAACCAGATGTGGTCCCCGAACAGAGCGTTCTCCTGCAGCAGAGAACAGAGATCCAGATCAGGGGGACCTGAAGGATCCTGGTCCATCAGAATACCACACACACACACACACACACACACACTGAACCAGAAACTCACGGTCCAGTCCACGCTGCTGTTCGGCTCCTGAAGGGGGTCTCCCTCCCCGGACGTCAGGGCGTTTGGAGTCCCGGCGTGCTGCAGACCCGTCTTCGCCAGAGCTTTCCTACGACCACAAAAACAAAGACCTTTTCAGGACACGGGTTCAGACCTGGACTTCAGTTCTCAGTTCTCCAGGTTCTTCTGGTCCTCTGAGGGTCCGTAAAAGACTTTAGTCCTACTGAGACTGGACTCTGGTTCTGAACCCACCTACGAGAATAAACCGCTGAGTCAGCAGCTGTGAGATCTGCCTCTCTGATCGACAGGTCATCTATGTTATCTATGTCATCTATGTCATCTATGTTATCTATGTTATCTCTATGTTATCTATATGTATGTCATTTATGTCATCTATGTTATCTATATCTATGTCATCTATGTTATCTATATCTATGTCATCTATGTTATCTATATCTATGTCATCTATGTCATCTATGTTATCTATATCTATGTCATTTATGTTATCTGTATCATCTATGCTACCTGTCATCTATGTTATCTATGTTATCTATGTCATCTATGTCATCTATGTTATCTATGTTATCTAGTTATCTGTCATCTATGTCATCTATGTTATCTATGTTATCTAGTTATCTGTCATCTATGTCATCGTTGTTATCTATGTCATCTATGTCATCTATGTTATCTATGTTATCTAGTTATCTGTCATCTATGTTATCTATATCTATGTCATCTATGTCATCTATGTTATCTCTGTTATCTATGTTATCTAGTTATCTGTCATCTATGTCATCTATGTCATCTATGTTATCTATGTCATCTATGTCATCTATGTTATCTATGTCATCTATGTCATCTATGTTATCTACGTCATGGTTAAATATAGACGAGTCAGCGAGTCTTTCCTCCTGCTGTTCTCAGAATCATTTCAGAGAGTCTGATCGTCACCATAGTCCCCTCTACCTGCTCAGGCATCCCATCAAACACACAGACACACATACACACACACACGCACACACACACACACACACACACACACACACACACACACACACACACACAGGTCTATTCATTAGCCTCAGTAACAGCGCGGCGCCTCAGCTGTGAGTCAGAGCGTTTCTTTGTTAGTTTCAGCTGCTAATGAGGTTCAGCTCCACGGAGAAGGTGACGGTCCGCTGAAGAACGTCTGACTGATTACAGGTGAGTCCCTGATCTCTGGAAGACCAGGACCAGACCTGACCTGAGGGGGGTCAGGGATCCTAAACCAGACTTTAGCCCTGAAGAAGACCTGAACGGTGACTCAGAAAGATTTGGGGTCCAATTGTTAAACACTAACCCCTGACCTCCACCTTCATCCTGATCGTCTCCTAAAAGGTCGTATCCTCCGATCGTAGCTGATCGGAACCATTCAAGCTAACGTGTCAATTTACACCGACTTCTTTCCGTTCCTCTGAGGATCAAAATCAAAATCTAACTCTCTTTTGGAAAAGGACAACTAAGAACTGGAAATCATAGATGCTACATCTTCAGATGCAGAAGGACGCCTCGTTCCTGCTGCGGTGGAAACTGGGGGTCAAAGGGCAGGGGGCGGGTTAAGAACCGTTACAGAGTTTAAAACACGGCTAACTCCACAACATACGACCACGTACAACAGGAAGTCGCTCCAGCTCTCCAGGTGGGCGTCGTAGCCGTGGGCCCCCAGTGGACTCGGGGTCCCGGGGCCCCTGTAGAAGGCGGGGTGGTTGAGGTAGTACACGGAGCTCTTGCGGCAGGGCAGCGGGGGGCCTCTTCCTGGCCAGGGGCTCCCGGCCTTTGAGATGGTGGAGATCCTCCTCCTCTTCCTCTGGCTGGAGGCACGGTAACGGCTGTAAGGGGCGGAGTCTCCCAGGTACACCTGCGAGGAGTTCCTCCGCAGGCAGCGAGGGGCTCTGATCAGGGGCCGGGACGTGGACGGAGGCTGGGGGGTATACCGCACCACCTCTAGGGTGGGGGAGGAGAGTCTCCGATCAGGTGACCTGGAGGTGTGGTTTCCCTCCTCGGACACAGGCTCCGCCTCAGACAGCTGGCTGTCCTCTGATTGGCTGCTGTCGGCTGTTGAATAGTCGCTGCCATCTTCATCAGAGTGAAGGCTGCTGGAGCGAGAAAACATCCTCCTCCTGTTGTTGACTCCGCCCCTCACCTCCACCTGATGTTCTCCTGCTGGAAGCTTGGTCTCCATGCCCTCCTCCTCCTCCTCCTCCTCCTCCTCCGCCATCTGGATGAGACTGGCGAGCAGCATGGACGGCCCCAGCAGGTGTGTGTCGATGGTCCTCAGCTTACCCACCTTCTTCCTGCACACGGCAAACCTGGGGTTGAGGTTTGGGGTGGTGGTGCTGGAGCGCCTACGGGTGTGTCCCGCCCCCCTTTTGTCCCTGGATGTCTTTGCCAGTCGCCAACTTCCCGCGGCGCTCGGCACTCCTCCTGGCAGCTGGACACTGGAGCGTCTCCGCTGGGTGAGGGTGGAGGAAGGCAGCCCGACGCTGGACCTCCGGCGGGCTTTACTTGTTGGTACCGCCACGCTGGGCCTCCTCTGATGGCGAGCTTTTCCCTCCGCATCCCCCTGAAGGGCGACCTCCTTCCTCTTAAAGTGACGGCGGAAAAACGTGTCCATGATGGACGGAGAGAGGGGGCGGAGTCCTGAAATGCTCCTCCCTAGCTGTTGGGTGGAGAAAGCGGTTAGCCTCAGCCGGTCTGTGATAAAATCCTCTACTGTAGCTTTAAATGGGGGGGGTGTTAATGACCTTTGACCTGAAGAGATTCAAACCTAAAACACGGTTTTTAAATTCACTGTCATCAAGAATTATTAGAAACTGTTTAAAAGTTTTTTATTTTAAATGTTTTTAAAACTTTTGGCTCGTAAATTTCTCACATTTCCTCTAAACTGACTCGTCTCACCGCCTAAAACACTTTTAAAAATTTTTAAAGTTTAAGAAACTTTTCTCTTTTTTAAGTGTCAGTAACTTCTAACTCACAGTTTTAATTCTTGTCGTGTCGTCACTTCTCTGTAACTCTTTTAAATACTTTACAAACGTTTAATTTTCTGTTTTCCCCGGTTTTGTCGGCGTCACATTAACTTTTTTTGACCTCTTTTATTCCAACTTTATTTAAAATATTGAAACTATTTCAAAAACTTTATACATAATAATTTTTCTGCAACTTGTGGTTATCCGCTGAAACTTTTTGCTCCATTTTTTAAAAATAGTTAAAGCACTTTTAACTTAAGCTGTTTTAACTTTTTCCAAAAATGATATTTTGAATTCAGAATAACTTAAATCCAGGCGTTGAAAGTGTTTCAGAAACTATTAACTTTTTAATTTTTTTTAGCAGGTTTCAACTGGAAATCTAAATCGTTTCAGAATGGTTAAGTTTACTTTTTCAACTGTGTTTACATTTTTAAAACACTAAAATGTTAAAGTTGAAATGAATTTGAAGCTAACCCAGCTCACAGTTTTGGTCGTTTTTGAAACGTCACTGTTTTCTATTTGGTTCTTGAGTTAATCGTGTTCTTGTTTCTGTGACTTTTACCAAAGTGTTTTAGGTTTTTCTTCTTCCTGGAGTCTGTAGATCTTTTCACAGAGTCTAACTGAATATTTTGTCGTCCTCTTTTGTTAACATGAAAAAATTCTCTTTTTTTAACAGAACTAGTTTTCTGTATCCGACACAGACGAGCAGCCTGAAGCTCCAAACAGAGATCGATAAACTCTGATTTACAACATCCTGAACGTCTGACATGTTTGGGTCGGGGGGTTCTGAAGGTTCTGGTCCTTCTGATCAGTGAGATGATTTCTGGAGTCTGCCGAGGGTTGGGTCTCCGGTGAAAGTTTAGTTGTTCTGAATCAACACTTGGCTGTTTTAAACCGACTCTCACAGAGAAACATGAAATATTCAACCCTCAGAGGAAGAGCGGCGGGTTTCTGCACAGGTGGGAGCAGCACGACAACAGGAAGAGATCATCATTAAGGCCAAGGCTACCTGCTGGCTCCACCCCCAACAAACAAACAAACAAACCATGACACCAGTAATTAGACCGTGACGACAGTCCACAGGATCCAGCTCCTCACACAGCAGCTTCATTATTCTACTGTCAGTCGGCCATTGTCTCCTCACTCCGACCCTCCCTGTTTTTTCAGGGTCACTGGGCCGATCGGCCGAGTTTATTGGCCGGACGTGACGTGAGGAGGAGGAGGAGGAGGAACGCTGCTGCTGTCTGATAATCAGCAGATTAGTGACCCAGAGAACGCCGCCGCCGCCGCCGAGCTGCAGGAAACCTGCTCTATTTATAGGCCCTCCTTCACTCTCACCTGTTCCTGTACCGGTCTGAGAGGCCGACAGTCACAGGTCTCAGGTCACCCTCTGATCAGACCTTTCAACACCTGAAGTCCAGCAGGACCAGGTCCTCAAGATCTTAATCAGGTACAAGTTACAGAACCACAGAGCGGAAACGAAAAACTGATTCAAACTTTACATTTGAGAAGGACCAGAACCAGGACTGGATGGTCCTGATCTTCAGGGCATTAAAAACAGACAGGACTCTGGAGTGGAGATCACCGCATGGGAAGGACAATGAAGAACCAGAAACCATAGATGCTGCATCCTCAGTTTTAAACAACATAAAACTCAGAATCACTTCAAAAACTTTTGACAAATGAGGTTCAAACTGAACCATAAAAGAGGAGACCAACCAGAACCAGGATCCAGAACCACCAGAGACCTCTACCTGAGTCCAAACTCTTAGATAAAGACGGACTTTATCATTCTAGTGGTCTGTCAGATTTGAGTCGTGCTCGTGTCTGCTGCTGTTTTCATCTTTAAAGTCAAAGTCACGCTCGGACATGTTGGTGTCAGAGAACCTTAAACATCAGAGTCTCCATCGTCTCCATATTGTTCTTGTTTGTTCTCTTCTTCAGGACTCCCTGCAGCTTTATCTGAGTCTGTGTGCAGAACCAGACTCAGTAAATACGGGCCGCTCTCTCATTATGGATCTATTGTTGGTTAGACAAACAGCAGCAGAGCGACTCCTCACTGAGCAGCCGATCATCTGCTGCAGCGTGTGGACAAACACAGATAAGAAACAGCAGCAGCAGGTGATCGAAAAACAGGAAATGTCCCTGAAGGAGCCGGAGTCCAAAAGTCAAACCGGGGCGGTGCGGACTCTGAGGTGGATCTACTTCTGTGGAGGATTCATCATGACGACAAGAAAGAGGGTTTGACTGACGACCAACGTTTCTGACCACGAGTGGAGCAGTCAGAGCGCAGATCTAGACGTACTAGAATAAAACCAACACTGAGAACAGACGGAGATAGGGCTGGGCGATAAAACGATGACAATATCAAAAATTTATCTCCTTCAATATCAATATCAAACATGATCAATATCCTTTTCAATAGTCGTCATTCTGACATGTTTTTGTCGACTATACGAACAGCCAATGAGAAGTGGAGTTTCTCCGGGTCTGAACCAATCATGTTCTGAATTAGAACCAAGTATCAACCAACTGCAGCGTCGTAGCAGACAGCAGCTCCACCCAACCATAGCACTTTAACAGGTGAAGCCGACAGCACTGTTGGTGAGAAACAAAGAAAATGAGTGCTACCCCCGACAGAAATGACCATGAAGGCTCAACAGATGACCACATCAATGTCAACCACAACACTGGCGTTAGGAAAACGTCGGTGGTGTGGAGGTATTTTGGTTTTTGGAGGTCGGACATGAAGCAGAGTAATGTGGACTGTAAATTATGTCGAGTACATGTTCTCACAAAGTCGGGGAATACCTCAAATCTTTTTCACCACCTGAAGCAGCGCCACCTAGCGCAACTAGCAGTACTAATGAGCCAGGAACCAGGGTACGAGGATTTATCAAACACCAGATCCACGATAAGATCCAGACCAGAACAAGACCCGTATTCAGGAAGTCCACGTAAACACAGAAACCATTTTATCCCTTAAATCATGTTTTCCTGTTTGATTGTTTCTGATCGATATTTGATCGATTTCTACTTCCTGTTTCCCACTTTTTGAACATTTCTCCACTTTGATTGATTTATGTGTTTTTTTATAACGACCCTGATGGTCGACGACAGGAAGATTACAGAAACATCATCAATGTAAAAATAATATTAATTTAATAACAAAAAAATATTTATGTAGGAAAAACAGAATTGACCAAAAACATGAAGAGATTTAATATTTTCACAATTCAGAATTTATGTTTCTAAAATTTATGTGAGTCTAAAATATTTTTTATGTTTTCAGAACATTTTTTCTGACATATTTTCCTCTTTTCACAATTTTTTTGTTTTTTTTGAAAAGTGTTGAATAAAAATATTTTTAAAACATTTTTAAAATTCAGAATTTATGTTTCTAAAATTTATGTGATTCCAAAATATTTTTAATGAAATATTTTCCTCTTTTAGATAAAATTATATTTAAAAAAGTTTTTAAATATTTTTCCAAAATATTTAAAAAAACCTTTTTAGTTTTTGAAACATTTAAAAGCTTCTAAAACTTTGTTTTCATGTTTTTTAATAGATAGATAGAGTCTCTAAGTCAATAACGAATGAAGATCTTGGTTTAATTTTGCACCCAGATAACGACCCACCAAAGAGACTCGGTTTTAAACTGACCTCTTAAAACCTCAAACCTGCATCAGTTCTTCACAGACTCGGTTCATTTAGTGATCTGAACATCAGGACTAAAAGAGGAATCTATGATCCTGATCTAGAGTTTTCTATCGAACCTGAACACCTTTAAATCCTCCATCAAACACCGACTGACAGCATGAGGACGGTAAACAAGCTCAGGAGTGTAATCTCCTTCATTCAGACCGAGGTTTAACGGACCGAGGTCACCACAGGACAGACACACCCAGAGAGAGAGAGAGAGAGAGAGAGAGAGAGAGAGAGAGAGAGAGAGAGAAAAACTACAGAAAAAACTACAAAACATGGAGGAAAACTACAAACAGAAACACAGAGAGAGACAGAGAAGAAGAAGAGAGGAGTTTAGATCAGTTTAATACAACCTGAGAGAGAGAGAGGGAGCGTCAGAAAGTCCTGATGGATGAAGAGGAAGAGCAGACTGAGGGAGGACGAGTGAGAGAGGGAGATGAAGGGGGAGAGAGAGAGAGAGAGAGAGAGAGAGAGAGAGAGAGAGAGACTAAGCTGCTGAATGAAAATAACTCTCTTTCTGAGGAGGATCAATCTGATCTGAGAACAGTTTCAGGTTTGTGTTTACTCTCCGTCAGACCTGATCAGCTGACCTCTGATCAGCTGATCAGGTCCGATCCTGGTTCAGTTTGGTCCTTGTTGGTCCAGCTGGTCTGAAGATGAATGGAGCCGCTCGGAGCCTCTCCAACATCCCAGAATACTCTTCATTAACACTTCAAGGCTGAGCTGCTGCATTATGGACCGTCTGATTAAACCGCAATCAAACACAGGAGGACGAGCGGGGGCGCACACACACACACACACACACACACACACACACACACACACACACACACACACACACACACACACACACACACACACGCACACAGGCGTTAAAAACCCGGTTACCTCTCAGTGTTTGTGTCACTATAAGAGTACGGAGTCAGAGAGGGGCCAAAAAGGTTCTGAACTAACGTGCCAATAAAGAGAGGAGCCACAGGTGAGTTTACGACATTAAAGGTTAATAATTACTGAAGTGTTTAATTAAAACTGATATCATAAAGAAGAGATGATTTTTTTCACAATGAAAAAAATAACTAAGACTTTACAACCCTAAAACTTTTTTTTCTATAAATGTTTTTAAAATCTGAGAATATAAAATTAAAAAAACTAACAAAAATATTTAAGAAAGTCTTGAAAATGTTCAAGTTTTCAAATGTGACTTCTCGGACTCCTAAATCAACATTAAAAAAGTAAGAAACAGTTTTTTTTCAAACACAAAACATGTGAAATTCTGTCGTTTTTATAAAGTTCAGAGAAGTTTCTCCTCTCCTAAAGTCTGACTTCACTGAATAAAACGATAGAAATAAAAATCGTGGAGTTCAGAAGTAAAATCTAATTTTTTACATTAATTTTTTTATCATACAGAAGATAACAGACATCATTTCTATTTTGTTCCTTTCTGAATGTTAGAAAAGTGATCAATAATCACATTAATCATGTTTTAATTATGCCGTTTTCATTTTGATTTACGATTGTATTTTAATATTTTTACTGTGAATCTTCTCTATAAAAGGTTTTACATTAAATACATTAGATTTATTTACTTATTAAAACACAAAAATAAACTGAGGTTGATGGACAGACTGTCTGACCCTTTAGTCACTCACTCATGTATGAATGTGTGTTTTATTATTATTATTTCACACATTTTCACGGCCCTCTTTGGCCTCCGTACGTCACTGAACTGTGAAATCCTGCTTCTGCTGTTGCTATGGAGTCAGCTGCACGGCAACCAGGAGGAGGTTTCCTTAAAGATCAACATGTTCCTGTTGGTCCCTGAGAGTGGGTTTTAAAATGGTCTAAAAGTGGATTTTTAAAAAGCTCTGATTTTTTATCTTGTTGAACCTGCAGATGATCTGAAACGAACCGAAACAGTCGCAGACCGAGAGAAAACAGCGAATAAATCATGTGACTCTTCATGACGACACAGAGAGAGACCGAGGACGACAGAAAATATCACGACGACTCAGAAACAGACTCAGATCCATTCAGCGGACCCTGGTTCTGATCCACCTGAGCCCGCTGACCCCGGGTCCACGTATGACATCACTCTGAGTGTTGGCGGTCATCATATCCACTTCCTGGTTGGTGCTTTTAAACGAGGAGACAGATTACCTGAGAGAGGCTTAAAGGATCAGCGGCTCCTGTCCTGGTTGGATCAAAGGTGGTTCAGGACACCAAGAACCAGAACCAGGAACCCAGCAGGTCACAACAACACCCTCAGAAATAAACTGGAAACAAAGTTCAGGAACTTCAAGGTTCTTTAACAACAGGAACCAAACCCTCTGACCTCCCTGACCTCCTGATGGTTAACCTCCGACCTCCCCTCTGACCCCTCATGACACAGTGAACCTGAACCAGGTGGATCCCAGAGTCCGGTCTGGGTCTGAGCTCTGTAACCTGATCCTGGAGCAGAGAGAGTGAGGGATGATCACTGAGTCAGTCAGACAATCTGATTAATACATGTGATCAGGAGACGGCCTCCTGCCGCCGGATCATCACACCGACCCGACTCTGAGAACCGGACTGTCATCACACCGACCCGACTCTGAGAACCCGACGTTTACAAGAAAAAAAAAAACACAGTGAAAATAAAATTTTAATGATGATGGTAATAATTATGGTTATAATAATGTAAATAATATTGATAATAATGGTAGTTATATTAGTAATAAAACAATAATAATCATCTTAATAATAATGTTATTAATAATGGTAATAATAATTTTAATAGTAATGTTAATATAATGGTAATAATAATTTTAATAGTAATGTTAATATTATGTTAGTAATAATAGTAATAATAAAGTTAATAAAATTGTAGATAATATTGTCAATAATTATTTTGATAATAATTGTTGTTTTAATGGCAATAAAAAATAATAATATAAATCATCATGTTTTTAATATTGTTAATAATATTGTTAATAATAACGTTGATAATACAGTAATATAGTGATATTAATAAAACCTCAGTCTGTCTTTGTAGCCTGATATAAACAAACTCTCTTTGTCTAAAACCTCCTGACTGTGTCTGTGCCGCCCTCTGCTGGTCAGATCATGAACTGCACTCATTTTTTAATCTGATTTTTATAAACAGTTTTTCTTTATTTTAACCTCCTTTATTTATTTATGACCTCTTTGATCTTCTTCTCTTCTTCTCCTGTCGTCTCCTCTTCTGTTGTTTTACTTCTTTTCTCGTCTTTCTCCTCTTTTTTATCTCCTCCTTTCTTTCTCCTCCTCCTCCTCTCCTCCTCCTCTTTCTCAGGTCTCCTCCTCAGTCTCACAGTCCTTCACTCACTGTGGGGGTCCTCTTCCTCCTCTTCCTCCTCCTTGCTCTGACCTCCTAGTTCTCCCTGACCTTGTCCTTCCTGGTCCTCCCTTCTTCTTCACCTCCCCTTCACTCCTCCTCTTCCTCATTTTCCTCTCTGTCCTCCTGCCTCCTTCACTTCTTCTTCTTCTTCTTCTCCTCCTACCATCACTGCTCCCTCTGGATGTGCCTCCTCTTGCCCTCCTCCTCCTCCTCCTCCTCCTCCTCCTCACTGGGAGTCAGAGTCCCTTCTGCTCCAGACTATTTATAGAAACAGGGCAAGAGAGTGACAAAGATAGGCCTGGAAATGGGTCTGTGTAATCCCTGGGTCCACACACACACACACACACACACACACACACACACACACACACACACACACACACACACACACACTCTCAGGTTTCTCCTCATGAATACGTCTGATGTTCTTCTGACTCGACTCTGTTTCCTCTGAGGCTCTAAAACTGGACGATGCTGTAGCCTACTTCCTTATATAGACACACACACACACACACACACACACACACACACACACACACACACAGCTTTCATTTACACCTAAACAGTGAGTGTGTTCTCTGACCTGATTATGAAGGAGTCTTTAAAGGGTCAGTCTGTTTGTTTTTCCTCGTTCATCAGGACTGAAGAAGAAAAACTAAAGAAACTAAACTCTGAACTCCTCAGACCCACAGAGTCAAAGCTAAAGTCCATGTCCTTGTGTCTCTCTATGGTCCAGTCTAAGTTCTCCTCCTCTCTCAGATGGACTCATGTCTCCTCCTCCTCCTCCTGCTCCTCCATGCTCTCTGTCAGAACCACCATCACTCCCTCATCTGAGGATCATCCGTCTGTTTCTGAGTCCTGGTTCACCTTAAACTGGATCTCAGCTTCATTCAGTGCGTTTCCATGACACTTGAGAAAACTGAATTATCGCCTTATTCCGATTAAAGCTCCTTTCACACCGGGAGCGTTTTTTTCGTGCGATTATTTCAGACGTCAATATTTTTTTCGAACCCGTATCCTGTCAACACAAGCGTTCACATCAGCGACGTTTTCCCGTCCTGCGATATTGCGGCATTTATTTTTTTGTATCACAGTCGATTTTTGCTAAAGTCTCTCATACTGTGTGTCCACTTCTGACCAATCAGATCTCGTGTTGTTGTGACGTCAGATTCAGCGGTATATCCAACATGGCCGACCGGCTGATTGTTTACGTGTCGGAGAACAGAGTGACTTTTAAAAAAAAGACACAAACAAGATTTCGGATTTCTCATCTGACGATGGTTTGTGAGCTTTAACAGTTTGATAAACATCTTTGTTTGAACTTTCATCTGTGCTAACGTAACTTTAGCTCTAAGCTAACCTGTTCAGATACAACAAACCGTATTTATAAAGTCAGGCACGTCAAAATTCCCCACCAAATTTGTTCGTAATTTCACGTCGTACATTTGCGTCGTTCCCGGTGTGTGAGGACCTTTAGACCGGACAGCTGAAGGTCATGTGAACATCTTAGAACTCCGAACTCTGAGGGACGAAGTTTAGAAGTCATTTAAGGGTTAAAATGATCGGAAATAAAACAGATTTTTATGGTTTTCAGATGATTTCAAACCAACGTTGTCCAACAGGTTAGTCACATGACTCTGGAGTGGGAATCTACGCATTGAAAGGACAACTGGACTTAGTCGAGACGTTTCAGGCGAAGTCCAGTAGAAATCATTCAGTCTGTTTACATGACATTTGAGAAAACCGAATTATCGCCTTATTCCGATAAAGACCGGACAACTGAAGGTCATGTAAACACCTTAGTCCGACTATAATCAGAGTTTAAGAACTCCCAGATAATGAGATTGGAATACGATTTTCTCTACCATGTAACCAGCGTAGTCGGAGTATGATTGGCCACGCCCCCGTAACCCCGTATCAAAAACCCCAGAGTAGAGGAGTAGCGTTGGTCTCCTCTTTAGAAAAAGAAGTGGAGGAGGACACGTTCACGTCAATAAGACTGTAAACGCTCTGAGTGTAAAATCCTCCTCCTTCATTTCTCACAGTTACATCATACAGAGTAAAAACCTTCATCCATGTTTTCATCATGAAGATCCAGATAACCTGAAACTCAAAACAAATCTCCTCCCACTGTGAACGACGACCACGACCACGACCACGACCACGACCACGACCACGACCACGACAGCACACCTCTGACTCTCTTTAACACACGTTTATTTCTGCTGGTTCGACCTCAGAACTGTAGACCCCCTCATGGACTGACAGACAGTCTCAGTTTCTCTGTCAATCGTCTCTCAGATCTTCTCTCTGGTCTCCTGGTCCTCCCTCAGATGTTTAGTTGTTCTTCGCTGACCTTCATACAGAGACAGAGATCCTCCTCAGATCTCCAACCATGGGGTCTGGAGGTCCTGATGGAGGACTGAGCTCCTCCTGCTTCTGCTCTCTAAAGCCTGCTGACTCCTGATTGGTTGAGACTCCTCAGAACCTGTGGAGCTCCTCAGGGTTCTCCTCCTAACATTCATGACCTCCAAACAAACAAACATCAAACCGCTCTGACCAACCAGGCGCCTGTGAGACTCGACTCAGGGAATAAGGAACACCTGAACCCTGCTGCAGTCAGGGGTGTCACCTGATCATCTGTCTCAGGTGAAAGGCTCGCTGTGACGTCACAGAAGGGGGCGTGGCCAGTGTCAGACTGGAGGAGCGTCAGTGAAACAGAATAAGAGCAGGAGTCAGACAGCAACATCTGATCTGTGTGTGTGTGTGTGTGTGTGTGTGTGTGTGTGTGTGTGAGTGTGTGTGTGTGTGTGTGTGTGTGTGTGTGTGTGTGTGTGTGTGTGTGTGTCACACAGACGTGACCGAGCTTGTACGACAGCAGACCTGTTCTCCACGCCGAGGTTACCCCGACACACACGACCTGAAGAAACCCGACAGACACAGAAGAGTCTGACGTCGGAGCTGCTGGTTTTGAACACAGACTGTATATTTGATGGACAACTTGGCTCCGCCCCCCGCCGGTATTTGAAGCTGAAAGGTTCTCGGTGATTGTGTGTTTTCTCTCCACTTCCTTAAACCAACGGTGCGCAGCAGCGTTTTATGAAGGGAGGGTCACTGAGAGTCTCTGTGATGACGCTCGGCTCAAACAGCGTATCCCCCGGTGATCTACTCAATCTCTGTCCTGCCATTGGCTGTATCAGGTGTCAATCATAGAAAACATGAACCCCCTAATAACTTTTAAAAATGGAGCTGTACAGAAAAAAGAGGACTTGAGCACAAACCAGTCTGACAGTAACTACATGTCAACATCACAACCAGGGGGGAGAAACATTTATATTCTGTGTCATTCATTTAGAAAGTTTGATGGAGGAGGCGGGGCTTATGACCTACACTGCAGCCTGTCACCAGAGGGCGCTGTTCTCAGAGAGGCAGACGGCAAACCGGAGTCTAACTGACAACAGCAGAACAAAAACTGTCGCAGAAGAGGAAGAAGAAGAAGAAGAAGATCCAACCGGACTGACCCGGGTCATCAGCACTACCTCTGCAGGACCACACCTCTGTCCCTCAGGGTCCAAAATCCTGAGTACAGGTCCCATTAACTCCAAAGTTCTGCCGTTCAGACGGACCGGACTCTGATGTTTTGTGTCAACAGGCAGAGGGGGGATCATGTGACCTCAGTTTCTGACCCAGGAGAACGGGGCGGTCCTGGTTTTTATCTAGAACTCTTCTGGGCTGTGGAGTCCAGTTAGAGGGACTGAGGAGGACCGGCTCTCAGGAAGTGAGTGAGTCTGCTGTAATCAGGTTAGAGAGGCTGCAGGTCCACATCCGGACCAAGAGTCCAACTGATCAATAATCAGGAATCTGAGTGATCCATCAATCACACACACACACACACACACACACACACACACACACACACACACACACACACACACATAAAACCAGTGAGAGAGGAGCAGAGACCTTAAAGACCTGGACCACCGTGGCTCTGATGTGAACCGGACCACTGCAGGTTCTGAGAAGTTCTTGTGATCCGAGTGTCCGACATTAAAACGATTAAATAATAAAATCTAATTCCGATCATTTCTGAGACTCAAACTTCGTCTCCTCGTCTTTCTTAGTCGAGTTTCTGTCCCCAGTAGGGGGCGCTGCGCTCCAACAGACATTCAAATGAAGACTCTCTGTCATAAGGGCTGAAAACCATAATCCCCCCGCCGCCCCGCCCCGCTCCGGTCCCGTGTCCTGGGATCCCTCAGATTGGATCCTCTGGAGTCACAGGCTCCTCCCATCAGACTCTAAAAGGAGCGGCGCTGATTAATTGCAGTCCAATCCGTTAATAGCAGCTATAATTAGAGACCCCTGAGATCAGCCACAGATTAAACCAGCTGACTGAACCTGAATCTGCACTTTTACCTCTTCATCCACCCGGGACACAGCTGCTCCGTCACAGAACCGCTCACAGAACCGCTCACAGAACCGCTCCACATTCCTGGAGGAGGAGGAGGAGGAGGAGATCCGGTCCTGAGTGGACGTTAAAGATCCAGTGAAGAGTTTTCACTGAAGCCTCTTTACGACCCGGACCAGTAAAAACAGAGACTGAGAGAGTCTAAAGTCTCCATCAGTGACTCTTTTAAAGGGACATTTCTCTGTTTTTAAGGGAATCAGTAACAAACTACAGACAGACCCGACGTGTGACCTCAGCTAGTTTTCTGCTGACGAGTCAGTTAACTCATTTTGAGACGCTGACCTGAACACAACTTCCACCTTCATCCTGATCGTCTCCTAAAAGGTCGTATCCTCCGATCGTAGCTGATCGTAACCATTCAAGTTAACGTGTCAATTTACACCGACTTCTTTCCGTTCTTCTGCGGATCGCCGGACTCCTCAGCTGATCACAAGAGTTCTATTTTTTCTGGACGCCGGAGCATGGCGGATAAATTCAGCACAGATTAACCCGTGCTGGAAAGGAAGTCGGGCACAGACACAAAATAAAACATCCGGCTTCTTTTCAAAATAAAACACTCGGAGACGAACAAGTGAAAGGTTTTTAGACGTCATTTCACCCCGATGACACCATGGATGAGGAGATGCTGATTCTAGAAGTCTAGAAGTAGATTTCCTCCTCTGGAAGGACACAATCTACTGCTTATATGTCTATGTGTCTGTCTTTAGAGAGACAACTCGTTATCGTGTGATTGAACGTGAATCTGCAGGTTCTTGTGAGTTCTCAGATTACCGCTGTCCTTAATCTGCCATAAAATTCTCCTCACAAACGGATCAGCGAAAAATCGCCGCCATTCCAGATGAGGTGGAAATTGGGGGTTAGTTTTAGCGTCAGCTCCTCGCCATCAGAGAGACTCCGATCGTCTGTTCAGTCTGCAGCTTCAAAGAGACAAAAACAGGAACAAACAGAAACTTCATGAGTCTGTACCAACATGGCCGCTCTCACACATATCAAACTGTACTCTGCCTCACCACTCTGACTTCATTTTTGGACCCTCTGTTGAAAAACTGAAGAAGAAGAATACAGCAGCTCGGCCTCTGATTGGTTCTAACAGATGACGTCACATCCCCCCTATGTTAGCGTCTTTACATCGGCTTCCTGTTAGTTTTAGATTTGAAGACTTTACTCCTCACTTTCACGGCAGTAAAGACTCTAATCTATCTGAAGGCTCTGATCTATATAACAGAACTTTTAACCCCCTATGAGCCAGACCCCACCCTCAGATCCTCCAGCGGGGGCCTCCTGGTCGTTCCAAAGTCGAGACTTGTGACTAAAGGTGACGGGGCCTTTTCCATCGGGGCCCCTCGACTTTGGAACGACGTCCCTGAAGAGATCAGGTGTTCAGAGAAGGTCACTGATGTTAAATCACGTCTTCATTTTTACAGACTCTCTTTTCTGTGATTTTGTCCTCTTTAAAACCTTTTACTCTTCTGGTTCCTGTTTTATAATCGGCCCCTTAGTCTCAGGTTTCTGTGGTTGGGTTCCTGTGTTGGTTGAGTATCACAGACTTTTATAATATCTTTGTTTTAACGACGTCTCCGCTCATGTGACGTTCATCACAGCTTTTATGTCGTCCAACGATTTTTATTTCATTTTATTTCTTTATTGTCGGTATTGCATCATCTCCCCTGAGTGTTCTCTTGTTGTTTTTATCTTCTCTGTTTTCCTGAATGTTAAAGAACTTTATAAACTTTTAAAGTTTTAAATAAAATAAATAAATAATAAAGTTAAAAGACGGAAACTGAAGAAACGATAAAAACGAGGATTTCTCCTCTGAGGTTTGGTGAGGAGTGACTGTGTTTAGTTTCCACTATCAGACTCTGACTAACACACACACTGATGTTACTCAGAGCTCACACACACACACACACACACACACACACACACACACACACACACACACACACACACACACACACACACACTGATGTTACTCACACACACACACACACACACACACACACACACACACACACACTGATGTTACTCAGAGCTCACACACACACACACACACACATACCGGTCTGACATGAGGACCAGGACGTCCTCCTGGATCTGGACTACAAATGTTCCTGCTATCTGGACCCTCCTGAACCAGAGTCCAGAACTGGACCAGAAGACCAGGAACCACGGCCCAATCGGTCGATTTTAGTTTGAGACGAATCGGTAATCGGCCAAAACTCGCCGATTGTCGATTTTCAGAAATAAAATGTGGAGAATAAGAAACCAGGAGGTTTGAGAGACCTCCATCTGCTGAGAGGGTCTATGGAGATCCAGGACCTGGTCCCTGCCCACAGAACCAGAACTACCAGAACCTGGTCTGAGGTGGACCCCATGGAGGATCTCTGGAGGATCATCCAGAAGAAGAGGAGAGACACCAGAGCAACAATAAAGACCAGACTAGACCTCAGTAAGACCTGGACTGACTGAGTCCAGGTCTCTGTTCTCCTGAAGTTCCTGGGTTTGGACCTCCAGACTGAGACTGTCCTGAGGGGTCCACAAGGACCTGAGATCAGGAACTCAAAGTCCTCCAGGTCCTCGGTCTGTGAGGAGGACTCAAAATACTTCAAATACTCAGAAAGTAAGACCTTCATGAGGACCGGGAACTTCCTGGACCCTCCAAACCCAGACCTGGTCTCTGTTTCTAATCTGGGTCCAGGTTTCTGTCCGCCTCAGAGAAAAGAAACGACCAACAGAAACTCGGAGACTGTCAGAGCGGACAGGGTCACCATCGTTCAGAGTCTCTGTGAGGTTCCTGCTCAGACTGAGAACCAAGACTCACTTTAGGTACCGGACTCAGAGTCAGGGATCAGATCAGTCCTGAAACCTGGTCTCTGAGTCTGAATCCCTGAATGAGTTAAAAAAAAAAAACTGTGAAATAAAACAATAAAAACAAAAACTTTATTTCTGAGAGAAAAACACGAGAAAAAAAACATTATAAACCTTCAACATGCCCACACACATATAAACACACGCACACACTCTCATACAAACACACACACACTAAAACACACACACACACACACTCAAACACACACATTCACAAACACACACTCTAAAACACACACATACGGAGTGAAGCCTCTGCAGAGCATCAGAATAAAGACAGAAAAAAAGAGAAAGAAAAAAAAGAAAGAAAGAAAGACAAAGAAAAATAAATTAAGAAAAAAAGAAAAATAAAGACAAAAATGACAGAAAAAAGACAAAATAAAAACAAATATAAAGACAGAAAAAAGAGAAATAAAGACAAAGAAAAATAAAAACAAAAAAAGACAGAAATAAAAACAAAAATAAAAACAAAAAAAGACAGAAATAAAGATAAAAAAAAAACAGAAATAAAGACCGAAATAAAAGGAAATAAAGACCGAAATAAAAGGAAATAAAGACAGAAATAAAACAAATATAGAGGACACATTAGAGTCACACAGGAATCCAGATTCTTGTTGTTTATGAAGCTCTTAAATATTTACACTGAGGAAAATTAAATCTGTAAATTATTTTTTTAATGGTCTAAAATGCAAAGTTGTGCAGCTTTGATTGGACCTTTAAGTGTTCCTGTCCTAAAGATTCAGAGTAAACCTCAAACCTTCACTTCAGCTGGTTTCTTTTTTTTAAATTCTGTTTTCTTTATGACGCACTGACCCCATTAGACCCCCATAATCTTTAACTGAGAGGTTTACAGGACAGAGGAGAGACAGAGAAAAGAGAAAGAAAAACTTTCAGAGACTTTGAGAAAAACTTTTGAGAAACTTTGAGAATTTTTTTTTTTTTGTCCCGGAGTAAATTTTGAGGAGGGGGTGTTTAGTTGACTTTCAGACGTGTTTGTTTCCTCCTCTCGCTCACACTCACGGCGTCCTGATCCAAAAACTTTGACATTAAACGACCGACGTGACTGTAGAGTCAGAAATCTGGGTTTAGTCTCCAAACACTGAAAATCTAAACCACAACCCAAGACTAAAGGGGGTCTGGAGTTTCAGACCTGGTCGGGACAGCAGGAGCTCCGCCCGTCTCTGCAGCGTCTCTCTGAGAATAAACTCATCAGAGACTCGACTGTGAAGATTTTTACTGTTTCGACTTTAAAACAACTTTAAACTCTGACGGACAGACCAGGTTTTTGTTCAGCTGAACTTCTGATGAATGTGGAGAAACAGACGAGCGTATCCTGTTCCTGCACACACACACACACACACACACACACACACACACACACACACACACACGACGTCCTGTTTCTTCACACACACTCAGATAAAAACAGCTCAACCTCTCCTCGCCGTCTTAAAGAAGCAGTAGACGAATATTTGACCTTTGACTTCACTGATGATGATGATGAAGATGAAGATGAAGATGAAGATGAAGATGATGATGAAGATGATGATGATGATGACGGTTCGATTAAACCCGTTTGGATCTGAGCTCTTAGACTGAAGAACCTGTAAACGCGTCATCAGCGTTGAACTCGTGTCTCGCCAACAACACAACCTGAAACTGTGAATGCGGATCAGTCCTGAACCCGGGTACTGGTCTCCTGAAGAACTGGTGACCCAAACTGGTATCGGCCCGCTCAGACCAGAACCAGACAGAGTTTGTTTCCTCGTAGCTAAACGCAGATTTCAAAGACGGCGACTTCGCTCGGATGGAGGAGGGCGAGCGTCCTCGTCACGGTGGGCGCTTCGCTCTCCACCCGCCGGTCTCCGGTCTCTCTGCAGCCCTCAGATCCAGTCCGGGACCCGGTTTAGGTCTGGTCTCTCCATGACACTAAAGTTCAGACCGTAAAGACTCAGAGGACTTGGTGAACACACTCAGACTCTCTGTTACCATGACAACCAAAGATCTGACACCCTGAAGGACAGAAACCAGACTTTGTTGAGGGTGAAGGTCTGGTCTTCAGGGTCTTCAGGGTCTTCAGGGTCTGGTCTCTGGATCAGAACCTCAGAAGAACCTGTTTCTGTTTCTTCTCTGCAGAATGAAGTGAAACTTCAGACCATGTGTTTCCTGTTTCAGAGAAGACACCACATCACACACCTTCACGCTCAGCCAGCGCTGGGCCGTATCACGCATCACTTCCTGTGCACACGCTCGCTCGCTCGCTCGCTGAGGAGCTTCAGCAGAAAGTTCAGAGACAGAGAGTTCAGGAGGAGGAGGAGGAGGAGGAGGAGGAGGAGAGACTCACCTTCTGCAGAAGATCCTCAGGCCTGTGAAGGTTCTACCGCCGTGGTGGCAGCGGGCAGCGGCGGGGGCGGCGGACGGCGGCTCAGCGTTGGTGGCCGGGGGGGATGAGGTGGAGGTGGAGGAGGAGGAAGAAGAGGAGGCGGCGGAGGTGAGAGCACCTCCATCCTGCTGCTCCTCCTCAGGCTGCTGATCCATGACCTCCCTCCCTCCCTCCCTCCCTGAGCGGCGGCGGCGGTGGCGGCGGCGTGCTGCTCCTC